GATCCAAAGCGATGGGCAGAGCTTCTGTCTTCCGAGATTTCGTTGCTCGAGTCTCGACACGGCACGTGTCGAATCGCCAAGGAACGCGTCAACACGATCTCTCTTCCTATGAGTCCCAGATCTTTTCGAAGATGTTCGGCGGTGGTGCCGACGCCGCTGCCTGATTGTCGGTTGAGCCTTTGATATTTTATTCCATAGTTCTTCCTTGTTTCTGCTTTTTTCCCATCGACTCGTTACTCGACGAATAGCAGAATATGAATCCGAGGACGGAACCGCGCTCGCGCCTGCTGTGTACAGTATGCGGGGTATTCCGGAACGGCACCTGAACTCCCCCTCAAGCATCGATCGAGATCGTTCCTTCCATGATTTCATTTCGAAATTTCGAGGCGATACTCATGGCGAATGAGAGTCTCATCAACGGTAATTCGCGAGCAGGTCTGAGATTGCCCTCGGTAAGATCCCGTCTCGTCATCCATGAATAGAGCCGCCACCGCAAGCTTCTCTACATGCATGGGGATCTCGTTACTGCGGAATAGGCAACAACAAACTTAGTTTGCGAGGACGCGATTCGTTCCTCGTCCCTGAGTGAGCGCTTCAGGACTCTCATCAGAACGGGGACCTCCTGAGGACCGAATCCTCTACATTGGTGTCTCCGTGGAACTGCTCTGGAGTTTCGCGGCCTCAGTCGAGAGCATAAGCCTCGAAAAGACTCGTCCACGTCTCGAGACTTCCTCCGGAATCCGAGATGGCTTTCGTCCGCCAAATAATTAGCCGAGAGTATCGCTCCCTAATCCCGTCTCCCTCCGGCTTCGGTCAGCTTCGCAACACTTTCGCCGGCGATCTTGGCGTAAGTGCGCTTCTCCGCGATGCCAGCGGACAACGAGACGGATGGAAGAATGGAACGACGCTCTTATGGATGGGACAATCGAACAATCTCTCGGGACATCGCATGCACTGGACAAGACCACATGGATTCCCCGTTTCCCGGTAGCACTTCGTCTTACTCGCTTCTCTCCCTCGACCGCTTCGGAGGCAAGCCGTTTCTGTCGACAAGCTGTGTCTATGTGGTAATCGATTAGGTTGACCGGTGAAGGGACGAGGCAGACATTCGAACGACCTTCTGGACGGTGCAAGCTCTTCTGATCCTCCGAGATAGCAAGCCCTGCGCGAGTATTGTCGCGTCGGTCCCCTGCCCGAAATTTCAGTATACCGAACCGGATAATTTATCGGTAATTCAAGAGTTCGGTCTCGAGTTAAGCAATGCATACTCCTCTTTCCGAAACGTTCCCTTCCAAAGACGCATGGACCGAAGCAAGTCCGCGATCAGCTGGGATGCCCCATCCCGGGTATTTCCCACGCATGGCGACTCCATGAGCGTCTCCCAGAGGGATAGGGAGTCGATTCTCATGAGCCTTTTTGAATTCGTATAATGAACGTCTCTCTTACGATGAACACGATCTGAAGATTACGAAACAGTCTTGGATTGCCCTCTATTCACGACCTGGCGCTAGATTAGGGACTTCGCTGAGTAAGTTGTCCCAATCGAGGCGAGATTCGGGTAGAGACCGGCGAAGACGCGGGCGTCGTCAGCTGTCGGTGCAAGCAAGGCGAGTTGACCCGATGGATGACTTTCCACGTGGTTGTGTCTCGCTGTAATTTATTCTGAATATTATCATGTAGAGCGAGAGGACCTTATTTGCAGTTCGTTGCAAACTTTTCAGTAGATGCTGGTCTTACCCTCGGTCATGTCGATACGACTAGGGATACTTCAGTGTCAGCTGCTCAACACTCGATCTGATGGCGGTGTCATATGGAATAATTCCAGAAGCCCCGCTCCCGGGGAATCGAAATTCATGACATGAGTGTATTCCTTACGCCGACCGCATAACAATCGACGGCTGAGACGAGGGAAAACGATCGTTCTCCCGGAGAGAGATCATGCTCGACACTCTAACCTACAAACTTACCTTCGGAAGCCGGCACCGACTCCTCCGATTTCTGCGCGTGGAATTTTCTCGTCATGAGTGCAATCGATCCCGCACCGAGCACGCAGTATCCGGACACTTCCGCGCTCCTCCGATAGCAGATATCGTGCCTTGGCTGAGAGGATCAAGTGACCAATGCTCAGGATCGAGCACGATGATTCGGGTTGTTCCGATCCCCTTTGAAACCCTATGAAGCTCCCTCCACATCTGACGTACTTCCGGAGAGAGTGTCCCCTTTTGTCCTGCCGCTCGAACGGAATTCGAGCAGGACTGATCTTTATCACTGCGGAAGCCAGGGCCTGATCGAATATTCGACCCCTAATTGGGGCTTATTTAAGTCTCGAGTGCTTCAAGGATCTTGGGGGGCTTCTACAAGCAGAAAGGATAACAGGAACATCCCAGGTGTCTCAAGCCCACCTATCCTTTCCTGCTAGCAGACGGAATTCCATCGTCTTGTTCACCGTGGGCGACATCATCTGACTCCGGCCGCAACCGTTTTCGCGGATGCAGAGCGTCAATTGTGACTTCTTACTTTACTCTGATCCGAAGGCTTCGCTGTACTCATGTCATTTCCTTGCAGGCGATCAGTCAAATGTAGATCAGCAGGCGTGTAGGGGAGAAATCAGGTACCGCGTCAGAATTTTTTCTGGAGCGTAAGGGGCTCATCGATTTGAACTCGATTGCTCGCCATTCCCCGGACGCTTTATTTCTCATATTCGGCCGAACAGCCACAGCCCCGAGCACTGCGAACAACATCGGATTAGCTTGGGTGGAGTTTATCCGCCGGGTGGGGGAAGATGCGAAAGAAGACCCCATCCAATGCAGACCTCGTATGACTGAAGATCTCGGAAGCTCACTCTCTTTTCAGACGGGAATATCCAATTTTGTGCACAATTCCGCGGCTCATGGCAGACGCCTCCACGATTTCTGGATCCCGCCGATCTTGGATGGGAGCTCTTCATTGCGAGGCTCTGCACCCGGTTAAGGAGCTACGCCGCCTACACCGCGAGATGTTCCTTCAATCTCATGATGAATTATTTCCCTTCCGCTGATTCCCGCCATGATTCGAGATAAAGGAGATTCAGCGCCGGGCCTCAATTTCACCGAGACGGAAAGAAACTACTGCAATCTCATACTCTGATTTAGCTGGAGCTTTTCACGCAAGCCATTCCGATGGAATTCCTCCCTAGAGGAATGAGAGGAAAATACCCTGGATTCGGGAACTCAAACGCGGCGGTGGACGCTAGGGCTGCTTGTTGTGATGTTCTTTGCGGAGCTTGCGAGAGCGACCAGCATGAGTTCTATCTATATTTATATAGATAGAATTTAGAGAGGAACCAACGAAACTTCTCGTTCGACCGTGGACAGACGTCTCGCTACCAATTCGTCGTCTACATCGATCACACCGCCGTGCCTAGCTCGAGAAGTGGTCAGCTCCGAGAGCTCGGATCGATGGCTCGACGCAAGCTCGCACGTATCATCCATGGGAGGGAGGCTCGGTGATGGGAAACAGATGAGTCGCTGAAATGGAACTTTCGAAGAACCTGTTAGACAAAAGCAGATAGAACCGTGGGTTCAGGCTCTCTTATTTCCCGGGAGACATATAGGCGGGAATAGAGCAAGAAAAGAACAGCAATCCGATGGAAACCCGCCCCGGGCCAGAAAATCGCCGACGGTTCAGCCAATGAAACTGGTGAGAACATGTCGACGACTTCGCAAGAATAATCTGACCAACCATCTCGAGCGAAATATCTGCTCCGTGGAGCAAGGGAGCGTAACCTCGAGCCGTGCGACAGGTATCAGATTTCATGTCGAGAACTGATTTTGACCGTCGGGGTTCGCCCAAGACATTAGCGGTCAGAGGGCATGGGTGTCATCGCCGATTACGGATATTTTACCCTTAATAACTCTGATGCTTGAGAAAATCAGAGATTTCGATCTGTCGCTGCAAAGAAGATGACCGCAAGAGATTGCGTCCCACCAATCAGGCACTGTTTTAGAAGGGAAGCGTGAGAATCATGGACGAGGACCCAAACTGGGGCTTGAGCGTGGTAGGGAAGACAATCTCACTGGTGGGAAAACGGCTTTTAATCTTTTAATCTGCGGAGAACCTTCTGAATACACCACGACTTGCTCTATCTTCCCTGAGCAGGAGCGAGAGCAGGTATCTCTCGCTGTGAGATGAGATCACCTCCGATTCTTCTCGTAATTTCCGACATCTGCTTGTTCCGAGAGCCTTACTTCCATGGACTCCGCTTACAAGACCGCGATGATCTGATAAAAGAATTCGCATTTATTCTATGGTTTGAGAACAACAACCGCCTGGACAAGCTGATGCAACTCCCTGAGGAGACGGCGCTGTCGATTCCGTGGGCTCTAATAAAATTGCAAGGCCTCCAGAGACGTCGGCGTCGTCAGCAACTGCGTGGACAGCAATGATGATGAGAAGGACTTCTGGGCAGCCTTTTATTTTTCACTCTATTTTTCCGCCAACAATGATATTGAATGAAGTTCACCAAAGGGAAATCGAATCGTCAATCGACGACTCTTCTTTCCACCTCCCCGCGTAGCAACAATCCCCCGCCGCGCCGCTTCTGCGTCGTTCGTGCCGGTCTCGATTCTCATGTCCCTCGCGGCGAGCTGTTTATTTGTTTTTTCCCACGCACTGCGCTCGAATCCTGGCGGCGAGGGACAAGTCCGAAAACTCGCTCGTTCTCGGTTCCCGCTGTCAGCTGAATGATGATAGGATTCGACGCAACAGGGACACTGAATAGACCGGTGCGCTATTATGAGCTTTCACTCCTCCCGTAGTCTGGCATGGGAATCAGAGCCTCTCGTCGGAGGTTTCCTATCCCGGCGAGTTTCTCGGAGGGAAAATGGATCACGAAGTGAGAGAGCTCCCCTCTAGAGACGATATCGTGCTCCCGAATGGAGAGACCACGGCACCTTTACAGACCGTCATAATGGAAGCTTTACGACAGTTCGCATGCGTAACCGAGCTTCTGGTGATTCTTCAATGCACGAGACGCGTACTCAAGAAAACTGCTTCAAAAGTGCGGTTGCGCTCTTCGAGCGACATGTGTCCCTGAATAGAAGATCGAAAGAGGAATTGAAGTGAGTCTGTATGAATGAAGGGATTTCAATTTTCAATGTCTAATCAGGCGGGAGGATGAACTGGATAAGGCTGGATTGCCCTCAGGCTAAGAGCGAGCAAGCATATACCGTAGCTCACGGGAAATTCATTCCTGAGCAATGCTGCCTCAATGCAACGTCACTCCAGCACTCTTCTCGACAACTCTCGCATCGATGCAAACGGGGCGTCCGGTGGAGAACCTCTCGAAAATCGATCGACCTTCTTTTCTGGCCTATAATTATCCTTAAGATTAAGGAAGTCGGAATGAGTTCGTCGTTTGATTCGGTGTGGCAACCTGAATCGGTGCAATCGCTTACGGATCGACGCGGTGGAGATAAACTCGAAAGTAGCCTCTGAAGTAAACTGTTTGCAGCTCAGAGCACGGCGGTTTAGCTGTTGCTCTGAGGGACTCCCATGCTGGAGGAACCGGCTACCGCGAATAATTAGGGAACGACTCGATTCCCGGACTAGATTCGATACCGAGGTCGAAAATACTGTTTGATGACTCCGGGAACGAGTGGGAATGATGAATGTACTCAAAATTCTCGAAAGTTCAAAGCAGAATAGCCAGGAATATTCCTCCTGCGAGGCTGTTCACGTTTACATGGATCGATGATCTTGCTTCTCCACTTCCTGGAGGTCCATTCGATCAGATTGTTATCCCTAAAGCGGGGAGTCTTCGCCTTACTCATAGTACCGCATTGCAATGGAGTTACGAGACTTACCGGAATCATTGCGGAGAGAGGAGGGGGGTCGCGATTCGAACATACCTATGCTTGGGCCCCTAAGAATCCATAACCAGCCGAGTGACAGAGTAAATTCAAGACGATGCTCCTTGCGGGGTAGCCAACATAGTTTGCCATCGCATAATCGCAGGATTCCGTGGATATCCTCGAGGACTCGTCACAGGTAGAGCTCATTGGGAACTCCGAGACAGGGAGTCCGGCCCCTAAGCTCGAATTTCGGTTATCGGAGGTTCCTGTGCTTAAAAGATAGCCGCTGAATCTAAGCTCCTCCTTCCTTGAGCAGTGGCACTACGGCCATTCTGTACCTGAGCCGAATTCCATATCGGTCCGCTATTGTCGTGCGAATCAAGTCGACCGCCTAGACCGAAGACTATTCGAGTTCAATGCAGAGCAGTTGAAGAGATAAGGCGGCTTCAGCCTCATGCCAATCCCTCTATTGATTAACGACTCTCGATAGTATGGAATCGATCGATTGGGAGCACCTCCCAATTGAGAGGCTCAAATGCTCGTAATTTCTGAACTGAGATAGCGCTGCGGCGATCCTGAAGCGATTCCGAGAGATCAAAGTCCGACTGACTCCCTTTGATGGGGTTTCGAGAGATTGGTATACTGATGGAGTTCCGCGCTCTAATGTTCCGAATCACTGTCGAGAACGGCTCCGGCCGTAATTGGAATCGGGCCGAGCACGAGAGATGAAACGGAAGCTTCGAAATCGCCTCGTGAAGCCCCGCTTCGAGGAGCACGTGGAGCAGGGGGTGGGGGCAGACTGGGAAACTCGCTCAACGTAGGCTTTCCCCCCTGTTAGCGTCATCTGGCTCCGCTACCACAGAAGCGCGGACGAGGGATTAGGCATCAGGAGATCAGGAGTTCCCGATGCATTCAGGTTCTCAAGGCATCCTTCTGCGCAGGCGGGCAGTATGAATCCGTCAGCTCCTCTAGGATCGCATTTCCTATCAGTGAATCAATAACCTAGCGGATTGCTGCCTCTACTCCCCCCGCGAGACGCCCCCCCATCGAGCCGGGGGGAAACCTCTATTTTCCTTCTGAATGCTCTTGGTCGAGAAAGCTATTGACGGTCCGGTTTTCCGTGATCGCCGCAAATTTGCATACCAGAAATGGTACCGTCTGTGACAAGCGTGTCCAGGTTTATTCTTCATGAGGGGGATCAAGGCCTTCCGCGACTCTTTCAATGAGACCTCTCGGAATATATGTATGTATACACGCGAGCGGACGTCATTCGACGTGGGAATCCCGATCGTGAATGTTTGTCGTAGATTGCGGGCTTTACGAAAACAGCAGGGAAACTTGAGTTCATGGCAGCGCTGCAAGAGTGGTGTTTTGCATATGCGTAGGCCTTCTCCGCTGGAGAGCTCCTGATTTGCCGTCATTGAAAGTTCACCGAGGATTCTCCAGAAACTTGAGCTCGAAAGATTTGCGTGCCTTAGTTCCGCGATTCACTCTCCCATTCATAGAGAGAACGGCGCAGATTCTGGATGTTCCGATTTTAGGATGAATCTAGTCGAGTCTCCGAGTTCGATATAGTCTCGATATGCCAGAGCTCACTTCCGAGGAAAATGTGGGGGTCACAAAATGTCTCACAAGGGAGCACGCTGGCGTTCTGAACCATTGCGTTGGAAACATTCGATCGAGACGAGGCCTCTTGAAGCACGTCTTGTAGGATTCCCCAGCCCGTTGAACCTCGTAGCTGCTCTGACAGGCTGCCCATCTCGACAGGCGCCACTACGGTCCCATGGAGAGCGTTTCTAGGAACCTCATCTTCGAGAGAAGATTATCTGCTCGAGGTAGCTCGAGGGTCAAAGTATCCACTCTTCATCGAAGAGTCTTCGACGCACACAATCGGAGCTCGAGTATCGTTGTGCATCCTCTGACAAGCTGCAATCCGGCGGACGTCAACATCTTGTATACGGGACTTTCTTGAATAGACGAATGGAGAGGGGGTATTGATATTGAATAGCCAAATCAGCGAGGCTGTGAGAAGGCGCTGAATCAGCGTAGCTATTCGGTACCCGCCAAATATGACGAGGCGACACGAAGAGGAAGTTTGCCTGCGAAAATGGTTTTCGCAATCGAGGATCTGTCATGTCATGTTCGGACAAACTGTATGTATGGAGTCGTCAAAGAAGCTGTTTCTCGCCCAAATTAGTTTGGTTGCGGAGGTTCATATGTGAAGCGAAAGTTTTTTGCTCAAGGTCTTGCTCAGATCCGGATGGCGCGAATCATGCAGAATTCCACGAACATTCTGAACGACGCTATATGATGAGTGATGAGATTGCAAACTTCTATCAAGTTCTGTCTGGTTTCTAGCTCCATCGGGCGGACGGGAATCCTGCGGCTCGAGACATGCCGAAGATTGGCCTTAATTTTGTAATTTCGGGGACTTATCATAATTTCCCTGAGAGTCCGGAGTCGAGAATATTAGGGATCAATCTCGATGAATTTGAAATTATTAAGGTTTTCCGACAATCTCCGATGTCAACAATTCTTTAGTCGTGTTGTTGCAACTTATTGATCGATCTTCTGACGGAGTCGTAAGGAGCATGGAAGTATTTCCGTCTCTCCGGTTGGTCTAAGCGACTCGAAGTCAGGGCCGAGTCTTTTACTTTCGAGAAGAGCTTCCGAAAACTTCATGGTGCATCAGAAGCTATGGATATCTTCCATTCCGAAAAGGCCGCGAGTTGTCTCCGTATGACGCTCCTGCATCTTTTGAACAAGGATCGGCCCTGAGAGGTATGAGGCCGATAGGACCGGGAATTGCCTCCAACCAATGCCCTCACGTACTTCACACCTTTCCCAGCTTCTGAATATCACGGAAGAGGAATCCTGACTCGTGTCCAGAATCGTAACTTGGCGGATCGTGGGTCTATAGAGAGCCGAACATACATAGGTTCAACTCCGAAGTACTAACGAGCACAGAGGATTGCTGAGCTCGGCCGTTCATTTCGTTGCGACTGGGACTGATCTTACATCGTCATTAGATCTGCTTGTCCGCAGTCATATGAGGAATGCGGAGACGCCAGCCCTAGAGTTCTACCGCGATGAGGAAAAATACGACGCCTGGATGGATTCACGTGGTCGATCACGCGTTCGCCCTGCTCGTGTCATGTCCTCTGGTCTCTTTGCTTTGGTGGGGAGGATTCAGCCTCACGGATCGCTACATCCACCAGACGGAACAACCAGCGGGCTATTGCTTCTCTTTCGTTCTCGGTGAGTACTCTAGTTTCTTCGCCGTTATGAACCTTATGATCATTCCCTTCTGGTGACTCAGGGAGCAAGTTCGCGAACATACTGACCTCAGGTAACGTTTCCGACTGAGTGAGACTTGTTCTTTGAATCGTAGGGTCTCTCGTCCTCCAGAACGCTCATTTGGTCGCTTCTGATCTCGCCGAGCTTACGAGAAGATGTCCGGTCACAGGCCAAATATTGGAACGATTGGCTAGTGCTCTGCTCATTGTTTCGGTCATTTTCCAATGGGACGGCCTTTGGAGCCTATTGGACTTCTTCATGGGAGAAACTAAGGTATCGTGCCTCATCTGCTGGGCTATAGGTGAGGACGAAAAATTATCGAAAGCGCGGAGCTCGGGAAAAAAGAGATAGAAACTTCCGTATTTTCCCCTTCACAACATTTTCGCGCAGTGTCATGCCGTCCGCACGCAGAGTCATGCCGTTACGAACGGTATCGACGCCGAGGAATTACAACGAGATTCACGAAGGAATCGCTCATTCCAGGTACTACCGTGCTCGTGATGGCCAAGGTACACAACAATGTCGTTTCTGGCGTTCCCTACATCTTGCGACCAGATAGCTCGCGAAGCTTATTCGAATTCGAGTCGCGTTTCTTGATTCAGGTGTGCGTGGTACCATCAGACGGAGTACATTCCGCTCTGCGAATGTGCTATTGTCGAGAGGCCATACGGCTCCATTCCAAGAAAGCTCTCATGATATGTCGATTCCAATCGATGCGTAACAGAACACGAAGCCGGATGCCGCACTTCAAAGAAGATCCTTCGATCCTAGGAGCTGCAGGAGAATCGCCTCAAGAGTTTCATGGATCACGCCTTCTCCGTGTTCGTTGTGCAACCTGCAATCGTTCTCATCTGGAGAGCCGCATGGAATGTTCAGGATTACTGCTTATTCCCCTCGGACCCAGAATTCTCAGCCAATGTTTCTTACCTCGCTGGTGAATATATTCGGATGGACTCCACGGTTTAGCGATGGGAAATCCCAATAATATTGAGAGTGGGACATGGACGACTGGTGGTAATCCCCGATGGAGTTGCAATCGATTCTATTGCACTTATCAACGAAACGGTTATCATCGAAGTATCGCACCAATGGCCTGCATATTCTCGCTCCAGGTACCTTCGTGACAGTGCTACAATTCTGCCTACAAAATTTCATGACGAACTGGATGGAGAAGTCGAGCGTTTTCGAGCGTCATGTAATCGCGTTCATTTGGAGGCAGATGGCTGTGTGCTCCTCAGTCACCCTGTGGCGCGGGCAGTGGGTCTGGTTTTCCATTTGGATGGACAATATCTACATTACGAGTTTCGTCACTCTAGCCTCAGGTAAATACGAGCGAGGATGGCGTCAGGGTGGGGCATAATTTTCCGAGACACGGGAGATTCTATCACGAGCAGGTTCGACTCGGCCACTCACAGACTTTTTTTTCCTTTTGCCAGCTTTCGTCCTTCTCACTCTCAACCTCGGAACGCTGTCTTTCCAACTGGGCGCTGTCCCTGATACCGCGCTCAAGTCGTCAGCGGACTGTATGCGATTCCAAATCGGATACTTCAGCTTGATCTGGCAGGAGCGGTCTGAATATCGGCCCTCGAAAATGGTAACTCGCTCGGAATATTCAAAGTCGGAGCCGGAACACCATAGCTCAGGCATAGTAGTTACCCCGCCATCGAACGCCTAGATACTGCGACCATTCCTCGACAATATGAGATCAATGCTTCCGAGCCGCTTCCGTGAATACCTTGAAAAATGCGAGGGCACTCGACCATCGGAGGTTCTTTTTCAATGGTTCCCCCGTGATTCAGGGGATCGGAAGCTTACGAGTCCAAATCTTTCATCTTTCTCCGTAGGCGGCGAAGTGCTCAATCGAATCCGAATCTCCGACGTCATTGAAAGATGCCCCGCAACAGCATGTCATTTACGAAATGAGTGGACCCTGAGCAGGACTGATACCGACCGACCGCCCGACTGATTCCGCAAAAGATGTGTCGCGGATCAAGCTAAATAGAAGTCTATAATTCTGGTAACCCGGGCTCCTTTTTTCTTCCGAGTTCCCCCTCCGAGGCTGCTGACAGCCGCGGAGCATCCGTCGAGCATCCGCGGGATGCGGACCCGATCGATTTTCTTTGTCGATCGAATATCATCATCAGCCCTGTTCAACAGTGGAGCTACTCTACTAACGTTCCATACCTTATTAGCGTGCCCTGCCGCGCTCCGCCGCGGAGAGAAGGGAGGTAACATACGGCGCACATAGAAAAATAAGCGACTTTCAGAGAATATAGGTAGATGACATGGGATGAGATTTAATTTATTTTGACGGCGACTCTACAGCTAAATGGCTGAATGTCTGTTCAGCTCCGCCGGCCGTCAATCACTATAGTAACTTGTCCCGATGGTTCTCATGTCCTTTATCTATAGCCACAATGGTTGTGTTTGAAGAACTTGTCAGTGTTCGTTTTCCCGCCCAATCCCTCGTTTGCGAATTGTGGAAGGTCATACACGACCCTTCCATGTTATCATCCATACCGGTAAAATCTTGCCATTGACAGAGGTTTACCATCCTAAGGGAATCGTCCACCAATATGACCTTTTGCCGGGGCTTCCCGTCTCGGCAGTCGACGTTATGCGCTGGTTTGAAATCGTAGATAATGGCCATAACATTCACGAAATCGCTTCCATTTCTCTCGAGGAGCTCACCGATAGGCGTAGGTGAGATCCATCTTCAATTCGGGTATGATCGTGCTACCGATTGCCCTTATTTTGCTCACATCAGCTAGAAAAGAAAGTTCTATATCATCCGCTATGCCGGCTATAGCCCACCCTCTCTGAGGAAACTTGTTCTGAAGGAACCTGGAACCCTCCCAACCCTGCGGAAACATGATGACCCTTATCGACCCGCTATGACCGGCTCCATACCGGACTGGCATTTGGTGGTCAGGAATCAGAGATCGTTATCCGAGACCGGAATAGATGCTGAGGTCATCCCGTATACGGCAACGTCGCGAAACATGAATAGTTCACCACACGCTCTGAGGAAACCTGTTCTTAGGAAGCTTGAGAAATATTTCCCCCCTGCTCTGAGAATACCTATCCTGAGAGAGCTCGATAACAATTCCTCACGCGCTCCCAGGGAACCAGAAAACCGTCATGTCTCCCGCTCATTCTAAAGGAGCTCGAGAACAGTCTTTTAACCGCATGAGGTATTCAAGTGATTCGTGATGTCCCGATTCTCGATCGAGCAGTGTCGGGTTGTCTCATCCATCAACAAAAACGGAGTTGGGGGAAAACACTTAGAATCATGAAATACGCGAGATCCGGAGGTGACTCCCGGAGAGGATTCTGAAAGTCCTCCCAAAAAATCCAGAATATGCGTTCCGTATTAGAAGAGTTTATGCGACACAAGGATATTTCGGCGGACTTCCATTTTCATGTATATAGATGTGCGATGGAATTCTCGTTGGGCTCGGAAAAACGTGGCGATCGCTCGAATGTCGTGGAGCAAAACACGACGCCGGCATCACGCAAAGGGAGCCGAAGCTTCGCCTCAATCGAAAATCTCGGCTACAGCATGCAGAACTCAGGAATACATGTCGACTCTTTCGTAGCGAGCCTCTGGGCGATCCCCCGCGGTCGCCCTCGAGCGTGACGTGAAGGGTTCGGACGCTAGATTCCGCGGGATGTTGGTCAATAGGTCCGAGCCGGTATCGCTACAAAGTTTCTGGGATCGAATAGCTCTACTAAATGAGTAGCCGGTCGCCGGATCCGTATGAGACCTTCCTCCAATCCTGAGGCGCACCCAGAAGATCCGGTGGTACTCGACCTGGGTTTGCAGGTCTGGATATATGCATCGATACGACGCTGTGAGCCGAATGCAGATATTCTCTGATCATTTTGGGGTCTCACGAGGCAGGTTATTTGCTGGGGCCTGTCGGCCGGCTTCATCCTTAGCGTATCAGGGAACGGATTCTCCTTCGACATGACAAATATTCCCTCAGTTAGAGCGCGTGTCGCGACAGAGAACTAAGTAATGACGACCTGTGCCAAAACCTGGGCCACAGGCCTATGAGTGATGTGATCTCGTGATGTGACTCCTCCAGCATCGTCGCCCATTCAGACGACTCGGATATTAGCAGCTTGTGATCTAGTGGACTGATTTGAAATTCACAAGCTCAAGGCTCCCTCAACACGGAAACCTCATTTGTCCTCCCGAAGACCGGCGTCGCCCCAAGATCCGAGGAGCCGCTAGAATCTACCTTCTCATTTCTTCTCCTCACGAGTGGTATTGACGCTCCAGAACTCCTTACTTCGGAGAGAGGGAGGAGCGCTGACCGTAACCTCTCGATCTTACGGAGTCACACGTCGGGATGGAGCAGTCCATCAATTTCAGGAATATTTTCCAGGTCCGTTGTCAGTTCCAGGACTCGATCGTTCACCGATCTCTATCCCTCGGACATCAAACATCGAGTCCCTCTTTTGGCCTAATCATCATGCGATGATGATCAGTAAATTCATTGTTCGCGCTGATACAAGCAAAATCTTGCCGTGCAGCTAAGACAGAAACATGGAATCACAGTGATCTCACGTCACACCGAGCAGCGCTCGAGTCGCTCATGTCTACGATCCTGTCGTGATGTGGGAAACTGTCGTTGCGATCAGCTGGCGGATGGAGAGACGAGTAGCAATCGATGTCGCTGATCAATAAGCTGGACGCTGCGGACAATATGCAAACTTTCATGAATTGCTACTCTTTGATCGCTTGCACGGCCCGCAAGGGGTTCGTGCCAGAAAAACTGATGTTTGGCGAATTGTAGCAAGGAAGGATTCAAGAAGCAGACTGAGGCATCTCGATTCCCATCTCAGCCCATCATAGGAGAACCTATGGGCGTGAGCGAATTCCATGATGGCTCACCAAGATCGAGATACCGTCACGCTCACTTAGCTATTAAACTTAGCATGTCTCCTCAAAACCGGTTCGGGGAAGGCCCTGAAAAGCATCGTGGACTGTGTGGAGGATTCGCGAGGCAAGGTCAAGAAGTACTGCACGGATGGAATTGGCCGGTCGCATCGCGGGGGAGCGCTTGTTTCTTTGGAGATGCGTGAAAAACAACCTCTCAGTCGAGTTTTCCTTCCCGCGCTCCTCTTGACAGCCTAAACGTATCGTTAGAGTTTCTGAGTCGTGGTATCTATGTCGAGATACTGAATCCAACCGAGTGAGATCTATGCTGAAAGCAGCATATCTCTGACAACAACAGAGATCGATCCTTACTCGGGTGAGGTCTCATCCCGTAAGGGCTTTTCCCGAGAGTGGCCCCATCCCCCTCAAGCGGTGGCCTCGCAGCGTTTCAGGAACGGGAACGCGTCTCCGTACTCGAAGCGCCGAGGTTCAAGAGGCATCAAGTTTGGTCGGGGTATATTATAGGCATCGTCAAGCCTCGTTACGCCACGAGGACGGTCAATATCAGTCCTAAGTACTCACCTATATCGTCTCGCCACTTTCGCCACAACGAGATACGATTGCAGGTGTCGGTGCGACGGGTATTTTTCCAGGACTCAAGTTGAGGGCTCTGCACCGAATGAACCTGTCATGGTCCCTCAGGAACGATTTTTGCATTCGACAGCTTCCGTCTTCCCAACTCTCGATCTCTAAGCGCCGTCCTCCTGGCTCGGAGCTGACTCTGACAGCATACTCGAGTCGCCGCCGGACTGTATCCGACTTCGGATCGAATACATCGAGTTGGACGGGTCCAGTCAGGCAACTGGTCCGGGGGAAAGAAAGGGGTGGACCGACTACATACTGGATCATCGGCCTTCGAGATCCGACGAAGTAAAACGCAAGTCACAGCCGGGGCTGGGAGCTTTCCCCGATTGAATATTGTTCCTCGGATGTCTGTAGGCTCGTGGCCATCCTCCGAAGAGATACACACGACAGGTGCCCACGAATCTCACGAATTCTGCTCGAAGTCATTGCGAAAATTCGACAGCCACAATCATGATATATTCTAGCGCCGTAAGTGACGGAATCAGGAGTGCTCTGGGAGAGGTGCGGACGGTGCTTCAAGGGGACTTGGGCGGACAGATATTCGAGTCCTCCTCCGACTTGGGAAATGTAGGCGGTCAGACCCACGAGGAGGTGGCGATCGACCCCTCGCCACTCCGTGGGCCCGCCGCTGAGCACCGTTCCGAAAAGAATACTTGATAATATGAGACCACTCAGGCAAGGGATTAGGAAAGAAGTAGGAAGTATAATAAAATTTCAATAAAATAGAGAGCAAAATATCAATTTTTATCTATTCTCGCCTCTTTTTCTCATTAACTTCGCCCGCGGGGTCCGCGCCATTTCCGGAAACTCCCGACTCCACCGATTCCCGAAGGGCAGGCGCATGGTCGGATGGAATCCTCACTGAGAGCGACTACGGATCGTCGTGGGATACGGAGCGGAAACGGTGACAGGGACGGGAAGCGAGACATCTCGGGGTTCTCAGTTTCTTTCGAGCTCTCGTTGTGAGACTTGTAGAGGATCGGAGGAGCATTCGTTCCAGAAATTTTCCCATGCGTTGTGGGCTCCAGGCAGAGGCAACTCCCCAACGGCTTCCTCCGAACATGCCATTCCTATGAGGCAAAATATGACCGGGGCACATTCAAGGGAGTGTAATGGACGCATCGTCTCCCAGGAGGCGAATCGCGAGTGTCTCCTGGCCAGCGTAGTCTCGAGCGGAGCTCCTAGGTCCGGCTCCCTGAGAAAGTCTCCTCTGAATATTCCGTGTGGTGGGTATGGATCCTCCACGAAATGGAATAGGGCATTGCAAAGCCGGTGAAAAATCGTATTCGGGATCACTCCGAGATTCTATGGCTGGTGCATCCGATCGACGGGGAGGCGCGATAACGACTGCTGAATCACACAGAAAAAAAAGATATATATACCACCGAATGCGGAATGTCTGCAGAGAGGTTCTGCGCCGACCGGGTGAAACGGCCGCGTGAGAATTGTTATCTCTGAGTGTCCGTAAAGCATCACACGTACATGGAGCGAGCCTTAATTTGCAGAATGACAAAGTTTTGTTGGGCCAAGGAAAAGTTTTCTTTTTGCAGAATTTGACTTTAGCTTCTGGTGTTCGAGTCGAGCTTGACAAGGAACGGAAATACCATTATCACCATCATGGGAGAAAAGGGTGTCGGACAAGTCTTCTTGACCGACCTCACAACTTTGCTATCGGCAAAATGCTCGTGTTTTTTTCGTTGTTGAATATAGTCGTATCTCTCAGGGTAGTTCGAATCGCGAGAATTTTCTCACAGCGACGAATTTGAAAGCCCTTGAAAGTTGCTTCTGTACATACTTTAGGGTCACGGCAAACTAACACAATGGATATCTGTAAATATTGGCCGAGATGGATATTCCGTTCGTCGAACTGTTAAGGATATCGGTGAGGCCCGATCGGACGACAGCCTCCACGGGCTTCGTCAGCCAGTGGGCGGCAAAGAGGAGGGAAGCCGTGGCCGAACTGGAGGGAGATCCCATTTCGGAGCGCAAGATCCGCTGGACCGTACCGCTGTGTCCGAAAAGACATGTTTTCGCCAGGTACCTCGTGCACGGATACCATCATATGCTCTGTGACACGGAGGGGTTTCACCTTCCGGCTGAGGAATGTATCTGTTAATACTGTAAACAAGAATGCCCAAGATCTCTTGCAATAAGTTGTCAGTCGGGACCCAGTCTTGTCACGCTAGAGAGCGCATAAGCGATATTGTACAATGCACGCGAAGATAAATTTACTGTATCGCGAGAATTCCCACACCGAGCTGGAACCTCCTGAGTGAGTGAACAGCGTTTATGGCAGCATCGAGGAATCCGAAGCTTTTTAGGATTGCTGCGAACAGATATGTACATCGTGTATGAGCTTCCTGAAAGTTTTCATCTCCCCTTACCGCGCGTCAGCCAAGGTGAGGGTAAATAATCGCACAGCTCAAACGATATCGATTCACGGGACGATACGGTATGATGGATTACTATTATTGATCCTCCGCGAAACATAATTACCGGCAGCCGTAGTACTTTAACAGTTGGATTGTGAACGGCCATTACATTCTGATCGATCATAGACTTATCTACCAGCGGCCTTGGTTTTTTCTCTTCCATTTATATCACTTTCCGCCGCCACTACTCACTTTTCCCTCTCAATGTCGCTTTCATGCTTGCTCCGTCGGACAAGACTCGCCGGAAAGCTGTGCGCTCGTCGAAGACTCCTGGCAAGTGAAATTCTTGCTTCGATCTCGCAGAGCCCAACGGAAGCCTTAATAGGAGGAGAGCGTTGTACGTCATGAATCAGCGGTCAACCCTTCGCGGGGAACGCGACTTCGTTCGCCGGACGGAATGCGCGTTCCGGAACAAAATTGATGACTTTCGGATTGGTTCAAGATCTGCCTGCATGATCGATGACCGTAATGTGTTCAAATTACCAACGAATGACGTTTCGCCGATCGAACTCTGCTCGCCGAGATTGTCCATCGTCGGCGAGGCGTTCTGAGTCTTTGCAGAAGATTGGAAAATAATTAGCTTGGTCCTATGCGTGCGTACTCTGTGCGGATGCGTCTGGCGAGATGAAGTGCTCTGCTCGAGTCATCTCTGATTTTTTTCTGGGCACGGACGCTCGACCGGCATCGATCGTGAAGATCTTGGAGACCCATGGCTACGACATAGAATGCGCATTTGCGGAGGGAAGATGTTGGGCCATCCCCAAAAACCGTGTTCTTCGCTTGTTTAATGCTCTCACTCTCTCTTGTTGTTCCGAGGAAGGAAACAGCCGAACTCTGCAATGCCAGGCGTATCGGATATCGACAAGAACCTCGCGAGCATGGATCGTCTCAATAACTCCTATCATATCTCGAATCGAGGAGATTTTCCATGGCGGTCGGCATTCTCGGTGAGCGCGGATGCTGCCACGAAAATCAGCACAAAAATCGATGAGGGGCTTACGAAACACAATTCATCGGTCTCATCGGAGCAATGTAGAGCGAGCGCCTGGAAGGAGACAAGGCGCGAGGACGAGCGCTTGCGAGTACCGTCACTTGTAATGTTGTGTCAGAAAAAAAAGACGTCACATCAATGCGGAACCGAAGCGATCCGTTTATTACGCGTTCACGATCACTCGAAAGTGTCGCAACCGATGGCGGTCGGCTGCGACCAAAAAACAGAAAAGGTCAAATTATGGCTGGAGCGATGGCTGCGGCGGAAGCATCAGGTGCAGGATAACAGAAAGTCTTGAATTGATCGACTTGTTCTCTGGAAAGAAGAAGCCAGCGAGACTGTCTCATAGGAGAGTGGTGAGGCGACGGCCACGGACTATATAAAGAAAAAATGATTACACAGTCGTTCAACACTTTGCTTCAAATATAACGTCATGAATGGTTTTGTGCTGATCGTTGTCGCAGGTTAGTACCGTGTCGGGTGGGGAGTATCCCAAGCGCTAAGTTATCGCCCCGTCTCCACGAGTTTTCATCACTCGTCCGAAAGACCCGACCTGCGGAAATCCTCTAGTGCCCCCAGTTCTCGAATTGCGCTGCTCCAAAATGTCTTCAGGACTCGGATTTCGTTCTTCTCCAAAATACGATTATTCCGAACGTACTCTCAGAAGATTCCAGTCCGAATTTTAAATCGCTTTTCTAGGGCTGGCGACTTTGCTTCCTGAAGCTCGCGCATTCGATTGCAATGTCACTCGCTTCGATGAGGTTGCCGCGCGAGCGACCTTCTACGGAGCGGGAAGCACCGAAGCTCAGTCAGATCAGGCGTTGATTGCGCGATGTCAAGCCTTCGACAAAGATATCGCCTACCTGCAAGAGTACACGCAAAATTGCATCCAGGGTTTGGCGAATGGTATGGTGAAATTGGTGCTCGAGGGTGCTTCGAACGATATGGCTACCCGGTGCGTGGAGTCACCCACGAGAGCCAACTACCTCCGGCTGGTTCCGTGTCTGAACAAACACGGGAACGAGTTCCACAAGTGTAACATGAATCTCGCTGCCGTTCTCGAGAGTGCATCCGCAAAGCCCAAGAAGATTCGTGTGGGTTTGAGCTGTTGGTGAGCACCCCACGAGAGCTTTTTGCTTTTCCATTGATTTCCTGAGTTCCCGTGCCAAGTGAAGATCGGGATGCTTCACGCCGGAAAATGGCAAGCACGGGTGAAGTTATGCAGAAATTAAGTGACCTCTTTGCAGTTACATGGGTAACTTCGTCGACTGCGTGACCAGAACCGCGAAGAAATGCGGCCCAGATCATCAACAGATCGCCTCGGATATCATCAACAACTACGCCGCCGATCTCCTGTCCACCGTTTGTGTGAAATGGAAGGCGAACTCCAAGGCGTGCAGAGAGCTCCCGAGAATTTCCCCGGCCCCGAACCCCAAGTACAAGTCACTCATAACACCATTGGCCAACGTGCTCCTGTCCTTGAACCATTGATGATAATTATTCAGCAGAACGGAAAAGGCATTCTCATTCTCTGCGGTCGGACATCAAGAATGATAATGACTGCTAGCACGTGGATCGAGCTTTCCTTCCCGAAATTAACCGGTATCGGTACTGTGTTCCTGAGATATCAATTAAGACGTTGAAACTGAGCATATTTAATGAGAGTCGAAATAAAGCGGAACTATTCATGCTTTTGCCTATCGGCAGCGATTATTTATAGCTGCTTCCTTTCATTGTGAACAGCTATCCGAGCTTGTGCTCAAAGCAGTCGCTGAAAGCTCTTTCGTGACAACTTCTGTTCTTTGAGCTCACTGGTTCGACACGTGGTTTTCTGCGCCGATCGCCAATCGATTCCGCACTTTGCGCTTCCAAAAGTTTAATATGGTCCTCCCTATGTCTGTCGACTTGCTCTATGAGCAAGTTCGGTAGAATAGGGGTCCTGACCCTGCACCCTATTCGGAAAAAAATCTGGATTCATTCGAGTTTCCCCCGTGGGCGTTTGGACGTCGGCGTCACGCCCTCCGACGGGCCGAGCGATCTGATTTCGAGTGCGCATCCTTCGCTCCGTCTACCGAGATGGATTCCTCAAACGGAAGTCGGCGAATTCTGAAATGGAATCATTCTCTTTGAGAGCTGGAAAGAGCTCTGAATCGATGACGGACATGGACGTCGCTATTCTTTCGTTTCGATGAGGAAGCCTCAGCAACGCATTCCTCCTCTCGATCCCGGCGGCGATAGTGGATTTACCGTAAATATTCTTCAATGATAGACGGGCATGCCCGTTTATTTTTCGATCCACCTGAAGGCGCCCGTTTATTAGAGACTGGCCGTCTATTTTCTGGATCCCCCAGAAGATGCCCGTCTGTTGGAGACTGGCTGTCTAATAGAGACTGCTTGTCCAACAGAGAACGCCCGTTCATCAGAGACTGCCAATCTATTTGGGACTGCCCGTCGATCCTGTAGGATTCAAAAAGAAAGTAATAATTGTCCATTTCTCGAATCCAAGTTCATACGAATCTACATGAGAGCCGGATTGTTGGCGGGTATATCTTGAGCAGATGCTGACAGCTGAGCTCACCAAGAGAATGTCACCCACAAGGAGGATGAACGGAGCTCCGTTCTCACGGAAGGGGTTTGAACTATTCGACTGTGAACTCCGCGCGTTCTTGGATCTTTAGCACATCCGGATATCAAAGAAGGTCCGCCAAGGCCAGTGGATTCGCGACTTCATTCAAGACACTGGCTGGAGATTCACGACACTGAGTCATGCAAAATTCATTCTTCCATTACGTGATTCCGAAGACATTGGTTTCGATTTGCGAAGATACTGGAAACGGATCGTTCATTACACTCTTAGCCAGAGCCCGTCAGTCGGAAACTGCCTGATTATCGGAGACTGCCCGACCACTGGAGACTGCCTGACTACTTCTCCTATACACCGGGAGATGCCCGTCTGTTGGAGAGTGCCCGTCCTTTAGAATATTTACGGTAAATCTGTATCTATCTGCGTTTCGAATCACACCATGTCAGCTTTGCCGGAGGAGCTTCAGAAAAATTCAGCGAGCGGTCGCCGGGATACTCTTATTCCGGCCAAAGCCTCTACACCCGGCGGTCAGAGACTCCCGCTCCGCCTCAATTCCGCCTTTGAGCCATGCATAATACTCAAAGTATGGCAGAAATAGTCCATACATTCATGCGTACTCACGCGTACTCGGGAGTGCCGACGTAGACTGAAAAGGGCCCGAAGGCGGTGATTACGCGGACTCGACATCGGGAACAGGGCACCTTGCCGTGCGCACTTCTCCTGACGACCCTTCCTGTCGACCTGGGAGGTTACCGTTGGAAGTTTCCGAAGTTTATTTGATCAGCATTCCGAATGATTTATCTCCTTACGAAATTACTATAGACGAGCAACATTAGGGGATTCCCGAGACGAGGAGTGGTGTCGAGCCCCTCCGAAGGGAAGCGTACCCTGCCGCAGCCTATCCGACGCTGACACGAGCAGCGCCTCAGAGTGCGGAGAGTCGTGATTCATGGCTCGATGACGCGGCGGGAATCGTCCACGCCACGGCATCCGAACAAAAAGTCACCAGCCTGTCTCAGCTCTCGCGCGCATATGTTCAGCCGTGTTGATATATGTGATCTCATCTCATAATGGTCGGGGAAGGGTGATCCCTGCCAAAGATGGATTACTGTAGCCTATGGAGGTTCTCGGGGTCGCTACTGGTGACAGCAAGCAGCCTCACATGCGAGGAGCACGCGGGCGCTCGGAGAATCGCTCTCTCGAGTCGGAGGAGTCTTCGGAAGGAATTGGAGAGAGGAATTGAACATTCGCGTGAGGCTCGGGAAAAGTTCTGAAGCATAACTCGGAGCCCGTTTCACGCCCTCCCTACTCCGTAGAACACAGCTAAATCGAGGCCGCGTCTCGGGCTCGACGGGCTCCGAGCCAATGACGTGTAGGAGATTTGCCGACGATCCAGCTTCGGCAACTAGGATGCTGTTCTCGGACGAGTCTCATCAAGTGTGACTTCATTCCCCTTCCGATCGAGGAAATCTTGGGGAAATTATCAAATGACGTTTCTTATGGTGTCCCCAGAGTTGGATTCCGCAGACAATAGGCGAGCAAACTCCAGTGTGCCGCAGGCTCAGAAGCCCTCTTGCGGTTACGTTGCGTCGGGAGCCAGTTTGGAGTCGGTGTATGCTGTATGCGATGGAATATACAAGAGATTATGTGTATCCTGCAGAGGTTCGATCGGAGTTCCTTCATCCGGTCGAGATCGCCTCCAGAAACACGCTCCTTTAACGTAAGGGGAGCTCATATCGCCTGAACCGGCATCCTTCGTTTCAGTATAAAACCCTCGAGGTTCGAGGTAATTGCATGTTCAGCTTATTACCATGGATTCGGCGCAATTCTAGGATAAATGAATCCTGATTCTAGCAACTGCTCCTGAGACTACCGACAGACCGACATTCTGCTCCCGATTCATGATTGAATCAATCCTCCAATCACCCCCATCCTCGTGAGATTTTGAAAGGAAAGCCTGATCAGGAAAAAAGAGATTGACCTAACACTCCTTCAGGGATGGAAAATTAGACTACATAGCTCTGCGAGTAGTATGCGGTGCTGCGGGGAACCTCTCCATCCGTTTCCACCGGGGAGCATTACGGCCTTTCCAATTTCGGGAAAAAGGCATCCTCTCTAGAACGATGGACAGAGTTTGGAGCTATAGAGATTAACTCCGGGCTAGGCTAACATTTCGTGGGCTACAATCGCAGTTATATGCGCGAGCTTCCGCCATGAGGTCCCGGAGACCCTTGATCCATGTGGATCAGTGTTCTTTATACAGAGTATGGGAGCCTAATGACAGGAAGAATGGCTCTGATGGCTTCACTTCTCTCAGAATTGTTGGAGTCTCGTCTTATTAGACAAAAACAATGAAATTGAGTTGAGCAAATCATTCAAGCTCGATGCGGGCAAGAGCAGCTCTCAGGATCCGAGCGAAAGCTGGTTATGGGATCCGGCGACAACGTCGTGTCGTCATCAGCGCGTCACAGCTGTTCACGGAGCGGAAATTTTCATTGGAAAACATCGATTGCTCCCTAAATTGGCAGACAGGAGGGAGGGCACAGGAGGAATGAACATTTTCTGTGCTCGTTGCGTGCTCTTGCCTCTCGAAAGCTTTGAGCAAAGTATTCCAGAGACTGGGCACGTGAATACCTGAATGACTTCACTCCGCGACGCGGTTGAGAATTTCCCGAACATGTTCACTAGAGGGGGCTGGTACGAGACGCTCCTTCAGTCGCTATGATGCCTCGCCAAGCCCAAGAAAATGAAGATGACCTACCAGGGATCATCTATCTCACATTCAATTCCGCTAACATAAGCCGTTCCAAAGAAATCCAGGATTGACCCATACAAACATTATCGCCATACCCTTCGCTCGCGGAAAAAATTGTCCCGGAAGCCGAGAGCTCCTAAGAGGGACACACAACCTCAGTGAATTCCTCGAAGGAAAAAACACTCCGATGAGCCACTTCAATGGAACGGAGTCGCTTTCGAGAACACTTCACACCGAAGGCCAGGCGGGTGTGCCCGCGTCTTTCGAAGCAAGCGTCTGCTCGCCCAGTCAAAGCTGAGGAAGTTCTAGATCGTTTTGGCCGATTTTTGCATGGCTTTGACTACGCGGTGATCCCGCGATCTGACAATCCATTCCGCCCTTCCTCCAAGATCGTCAACCATGGCACCGTTGATCTTCCGCGGTGAGCTTTGCCCCGCTCGGGAATCGGAGGGGATAAGCACAATTTTCCTCAGAGTGTATTATGAATCCCCAGACACACTGCTTCTCGAGATGCGGAGAATTTATCCTGCGGGAGGTAGCGGACTACGCATCTGCATATGTCCGTGTTACCTCTACTTCCTGTCTGGAAGGAGAGAGCATGAATTCCGCAAAAAGCGATATTCCGGCCATTTACACCGGTATATGGAGTCGATTCCCCTTATTGTTGCACAGGACGCCGCAATTTCCGCGGGGAATCGCCGCGACGTCACAGCCCGACTCATTTGTTATATCAGCTGGATACCATCGTGCACTCTTCTGAGACTCTCGTGTCAATGAGGAGCTCGAGGACTGCTCAAGCATTCCGAGCCCGAGGCTTGATCCGAAAATGAGCTGCTCCCCTCAGTCAATATGCCATGAGTAGAGAAATTACTTCTTAACGCAGTTGATCTATCCGTTCCTTCCGAAGAGACGAAAGTTCAGAATCTGCAGTGTGGATCCCCACTGAGGCTGTTGATTCTCACCCGATCTCTGGTGAGATCGGGGCCTTGAGTTTGAGGCATGATATATTGTGAGTCAGGCCGCGCCGGTCGACGGGATTCATTGATTACATCTGAGTGAGATCGATTAGAGATTCGCGGGATAAGTTGAGTGAAGAGTTCCGAAGCCGGGATGTCTTTTCTTCATCCCTAAGACGGCTCTGAAGTTCCGGCGTTCGCCCTAACTAGTCTCTCCCCAAGACAAAAGAGGCGTGCCCTTCGTCAGGAACCTCGCCGGACCTCCTCTGACCTCATATAAAGAGACCAGCGTCAGAGGAACGTTATTCGAGTCCCGAGTTCCTCAGACGTCACAATGTTCAAGTTCGCGGTTCTTGTCGCCGGTAAGCACCCCGCTCACTCCGTGTTTGGCCTGCCATTCAGCTGAGCATCCCAAGACATGCTGCGACGGCCGTGATCGGATGCCCTCCATCGTCATCAAGTTTAACGGGGCCCTAGACGTCATCATTACTGCACTGATCGAGAAAAGTCCTCCCGATGACTTATTACTATAAGACTAACTTACAGGTTGTGCAGCTTACGCTTCCGCCGCGAAGATCGTTTGCGATGTCCACGCGTTCGATAAAGCGGCTGGGGACGTTCTCCTGTACGGAGGTGGAGCGTCGGCCCCGAACACATTCGCCCAGCTCGACGCCAAATGTGCCAGTGAGAGAAAATCTCTGAAGTTCGCTGAGGATTACACCGAAAACTGCGTTCACGGACTTGGCAAGGGCATGTTGAAGATCTTCATCGAAGGTGCCGGTAACGAAGTCAGCAAGCATTGCACTGCTGGTCCCATGAAGAACAAATACATCCGGCTCGCGCCTTGCATCAACCAGAAAGCCGCTGCCGAGATCTTCAAGTGCAACAACATGCTTGCGGCTATCCTCGAAGGAACAACGGCGCATCCCAAGAAGAACCGAGTTCCTCTCAGCTGCTGGTGAGTCTTTTCCTTCGGACAAATTCCTGCGATCTCCCCCGCAAGGTAGATTCGACGGCTCTCCTAGCTACGAGGGCCCCTAGAGGCATGTCTCAAACGCTCGCCGTTCCTCGCCTTACAGCTACATGAACGAGTACGTCAACTGCGTCGTCAAACACGCCTCAAAATGTGGTAAGGAAACCACGGACTTCGCCCATGAAATTATCAACACGGTCGCTGGTGACCTACTCGACACAGTTTGCACAAAGTACAAGAGCAACTCCAGGGAATGCAGAGCGCTCCCGAAAGTGACTCCGGCCGCATCGCCGAAATACAAGAGTTTGCTCCCCCCTCTGGCCGATGTTCTCGACTCGTTGGGTTCACAATAGGCTCTGTGTGTACAAAGTCATTCCGCTTTCGACTGTTCGCACAAACGTCCCCTAGGCGAAGGCGTAGCGCCAAAAATGTCAATATAGCTTCGAATTCAATAAAATGCTCCATCACGTATCCAAATCTCTGTCGAAAGAAGCTCATCGAATTTTGTCCGCGATGAAATCCGCAACGCACGGAGTTTCTTTCCCCAGCGGGCTAAAAGCAGCTAGACCCCTCGAAATCGTTCATGATGCAGCTGGGTTCGGGACTTCAAGAGTAATCAAAGGAAATCATCATGATGCCGGTGATTAGAGGAGCGAAACCCCATCATGAGCCGGCAAGTGTGTTGTTCGCGGTAGTCCTCCGTCGGGGCGCGAATGCTCCGAGGGTGCGCGAATGAGCCGTGAACAATGAATCAAAACAATCGTTACATCGTTGTACGGTTCCGACTACGCTTCCGGTTCCGCCCCAATCGAGGCTGTCTAAACATAGAGGTCTGCAGATCGAGAGGCTGATTAATAAAGCGGATCCGGCGCTCAAATTTGAATGGAGGATGTCCTCGGGAGTCTCTTGTTCCAGACGAGTGACACCGTCGACTCAGTGCACCTGTAAAGGGTTCGATAATCTGGGAATATTCCATATCCACATCATGAGGCGATTCGGAATGAGGACTAGATCCTGCTCCACTGAATTGAGCATTGACCGTACCTACGGGGTGTGGGACAGAGACGGGCGGGACGTAGTTAGAATATTGTGCGCTCGGATAGAGCTTCTGAGAATTTCCCGAACCTTCCGCGGAACTACCGGTCTCCGCCGCCCGTCGGGTCCACATCTTGCGGTGCGATGCCTCACATCGACCTCGATTTGATGTGTTCACTGCGCGACGCATTGAAACAGCCCATCGGGAGGAGTCCACAGACATACCAATACCATAGCTCCCATAAACTCTGTCCGCCAATCTAGGGCGAAAGGGCGTCCATCGACACTTTACTGCCTTGACGGTTTGGGACGTATATGTCTCCTCAGCTCCCAAGACTAATGAAACTCGCACTCGCAGTAGATGTCTGAGTGGGAACCAGGTGCTGCCCTGAAGCGAGCAGAATATCGAGAATGATGTGATGAACTCCGCTGATGGAGAATGGAGCGAGAATTCTCATGGAAGTCGGAACTTTCTGGTTTAAGATCCCGGAATACACATCGAGTCTAGGGGAGTCCGTTGGTCAGTGAGGAAAGGGTATCGACTAGCAGTCGTCCTTAGGAGGACCAGCGGTTCTCTCGGAATATTGCGGGCTGAAGCGACAGCCCTCGTCCAATGTTCAATCAGTCGAGGTGTTGCTTCAAGAGACGAATCAGGGCAGGGACCTGTGGCTCACGCCGAGAGACCTCCCGAGAACGCTGTTCTACCCTCGAGCAGTCTCATAACCCGAAGAGGGATTTTCTTCATGGATTGACATTCATGACGTCAGAGCAGACATTCATATCCTTGAAGGGGAAGCGAGGTCTTGCGCTCGATTTCCTCTCGTGCCATTTCCCTCGAAGTCTACTCCAGTACGCGAATTCTCAAGAGCATACAAGCGCATAGTCCTCGCCCCCCCCCCCCCGGGGGAAACTCTTCCCCAAGATTCCGTTCCGGCGAACCCATCCGCTCCTCCCGATGCTCCATCCGCTTTGTTTCACACCAGTCGATGCGCTTGCTGTTTCGGTGTTCCGCGGCCGCACGTCATGTCGTGGTGGTCCATAACTTCTAATTCCGACCGGTGACATCCTTCGTTGTGGAAAGCCAAGCATCTTTGACTGAGAGGAATCTCGGTGAGGTGAAGCCCTCTATTCCGCGCCGTCAGTAAGCTCCAAGATATCGGGTAGACTAAAAAGAGCTCGAGGTGATTCTCGGATGATTCCGACAGATTAGACGGATTATCCAGAGAGTCGAAGCTCCGGAATATCATCCCGGCCAAATCATGAGCGAACCCTTCCGATTCGAAGTTTCCTCGATTAGGAGCGATCCGAATCGTACTCGATTGTATTTGGCTCTTTGTCGGGCCGTCGACGCCAAGCGTTTCGCCTCGATCGTTCTCGAGGAAATCCGCCGAGCGGCGAGGATCATTGATTTCCAATCGAGCCAAATTTTTGTGGCCCGGATCGGGCACATTGGGTCAACATCCGAAAAACCAAAAAAAACGACCCTAAGCTCCGATTCCCCCTCGCAGCGGCGATGGACTAGCGGCACTACTCCCAGGTGTGCGCGGGGGCACTGGGACAGGCAGCTGAGTCAAACAATCGTCTTAATCGTTCGCTCAGATGTTGCCCACGCGCACATCCGAGATTGATGATCCAAGTGAAATCGCTTCTCAATAAATAGTGAGGAGGGGCCAGAGAGGCATGAGCCGGCTCCCGATCCGCAAGGTACAAATAGCAAGTTTCGAGGAGTCTCGGAGATCATGGTGCGTCTCGAATCGTCTACTGCCAAAATGCTCTCCGGCTATCTGGGAACAGCATTGTTGGTGGCCGGTAAGGGTTCCTAAAAGGGGGAATGAGAGATTATGGTCCTAGTCCTTGTCCAGAGCGTCCTTGACCTCTATCCCCATGATTCTATGCAAATCTGTGATTGATCCATGGAGTTCGCGGGTATTAAGAACAGATTTTTCGTTCCCTCAGGTTTCACCCAGGCCACCGCCGGAGTCGTCTGCGACTCCAGAAAGTTCGATGCGGCTTCAGACGACATATCTTTTTTCGGCGAGGGGCCGACAATGGCGATTGAGGCCACTCGTCTCAAAGCCAAATGCGCGAGCGAGACTCAATCGCTAAAGGTGGTTCAGGACTACGCCGATAGATGTGTCCAAGGCACGAGCAAGGGTATTTTGCAGATTTTCATTGATGGGGCTGCCACAAATATCGAAAAACACTGCATGGACGATCGCTACAAGTCGAAGTTCGTTCGATTGACACCGTGTTTGAACCGAAATGCTGGTGCTGGAATCCACAAGTGCAATCGAGACTTCGCCGGAATGATTCGGAGCATCGCACTCAAACCAACTAAAATTCGTATCCCGCTCAGCTGCTGGTGAGTCTCCCAGGTGGGACCTATCGGGTTGAAAAACTTCATGACCTTACAACCCTGAGGTACTCTAGAGCTTTGGAAGGCGCTCGATATATCCTCGGTCCGCTGACCACGTCTCTTTCCACAGCTCCATGAACGAGTACATGAACTGCGTTTTGAAGCACGCGGCGAAATGCGGCCCGGAAACCAAGGAATTCGCGAGCTCAATCATAGAGGGCTATGCTGGAGACCTCCTAGACACTGTTTGCGTGAAATATAAGCCCGGCTCTAAAGAATGCAGAAGTCTGCCTAAGGTCACTCCCAGCACCTCTCTGAGGCTTAAGAGCGTTCTATTCCATCTGTCTGAGGCTTTCAATGGTCGCCCCTGAGGCACTGTCATTCATCCACACGACCCGAATCGACTGATATCGATACCGTCGACCGCGCTCGAGATGACCAATATTTTGTTTGTGTTTGTTTGCTCGTTTTCACTGCATTGATGAACTTCCCTTTGATGAGTCGACCTACACATGGTGCTGAGCCCACAATAATTCTGCAATAAAGTTCACGGTCATTGAAAACGGAAATCCCGAAGCTGGATCTATTTTATTTTTCGACTGGAGTACTGGAGTCTCGCTCCAAGGAGGATGACTCCGTGCCAAGCGATGCCGGCGCCAGAGGGCTTTGTGAATGAGAATCTCTCTCGGGCACTTCTCGCGGAACATTGAGACCGAGAAGTCACCCGAGAGCAGCGCTATCGATCGCTTCTTCCTCTCCTTTCACATGAATGAATTTCCTTATCAAGCCGCTTTTTGACTGCGTTGGCTTTCAGCAATAAGCGATCAAAGAAACGGAAGCCCTCTTCGGTCCAGACCTGAATTTGCATCTCTCCCTAAGATATGGTCTCAAAGACAGACGCACGAAGATTCCCTTCTCCTGCGGCTCGAGCCTCGTCGTCGATGCTCATTCGGATGAGCTGAGGCCTCGGAGAAATTCTTGAAGCCCTGATGAGTTCCTTCCGCTTGTCAAAAAAACCTCTCACGAAACCTCCGACACGTTTGCTACGAGGAATGCTCCCGAATGTGTCGACATCCTCTACAAGGATACTGGCCTAGCGCGTTCTCACGCTCGCAGCGGCGATGACTTTTTAAGCGATGACTTGTAGTCCGAGGCGCGAAGGAAGGCCTCCCCTGGAGTGAATAGGAGTATCTGTCAGAGTTGCGCATCTATGTTTGTTCCCTAAGCTCGCATGTATACGCTCGGATGAATGGTATTTTTTGATGCACAGCATTCAGCGGGATGTGACAATCATCAGAGCTCCCCCTTCGCTCCGCCCCCAGGGGGAAACTCCTCCTCAAGAGGAATTGATCAGTCGACACCCAAAGAGTCTGCAGTCCATTGTTCAGCTTGATACTGGGCCTTTATACATTTGGTGACATTTCCGATCAGTCAAGGCATGAAATATGATCAACAGTTCTCCCCGTTGACTCCATTAGGAACATTCAAGTTACGAAAGGGAAACTGACGAAGTTCACCATCAGAGGTACCCATAATATCAAGAATCTTCTTCAAGGCTGTCAACAATAATCTTCATTTGAATGTACCCAGAGGAGAGCTCCTGTACAAGGGAGCGTTTATTGAAGACCCTCCGCCGTAACCTCCGTGGGCATTGGCAGCGAATTTTCTCGTCTGAAGTAGAAAAAAAACATACATCCTCGGCGACCGTCGCGTCGGCAGCGCTTCGCAACCAAAATTCTGAAAAGTCTCCTCTTATATCCTGCAATTTAAAACTTAAGCTTCTCGAGAGTAGAATTCACAAGGCATGATCGTCTGACATTCAAATTTGGACTCTTCCAACGCTTGATGAACAATTTTTATTTGTGCAAATTCTCACCTTTTTCCGGCATATTTCACCCTTTTTTAGCGCATATCCGCATGCATATTTCAATATTTTCAATTTTCAATGTTTAAAGCGCATGAAGTGACGCACTCCAGTGATGACAGAGAGATTCGAATTAGATAAACCAATCTGATATGACCAGAAGCTCAGTCCATGACAGTAATTTATCGGAACGTTACAGTGCTTACGTTACTTTCGAGGACACTACCGAATCAGACTGATTGGCAGCGAGAGGCAGTGATTTGGACAAAGTGCCCAATCAGACATCCATGGGAGGACACATATACTGCAGCAAAGACTCATTCATTTGGAACAATAATGAAAACCACCGCTGGAGAAGAGATAACGTCATTTGTCGATGGCTTGGATGCGCGATGTCATATGTCAGAGCGATTTGTCTCTTCACAAGATTCGCGGCGCTGAAAGAGTCGATTTCCAACTTCTAGCTCAACCGATTCTTCCCGACTTCCCATTGCCCTAGCTTCCCCTCAATGGTCCCTCCAAAGGATACGGAGGGCCTTGCGTTCATTAATGTAGGTACTAGTTGAGAAAGATTTTTTTCCGAAGGTCAGGAGTGCGTACACTCGGGACCCTTATTAAGGACTGTCTCTTGGGACAACCGAAGAACTTTATTACACTCTTTTTTCCCGCTCTGTATTAACGTATCTGCTGGAGAGGCGCTAAGAACGCGTGATTTAGCAGGGAATGACCACTCATTGCACATCGCGTCTCTCCACGAGAGTCAAACTCAATGTGTGAACGAACTCCCGGCAAGCTCGGGCTCGCTTTCATGAAATCGACTGCCCTTCGAGAAGAATGAGGGCAAATATCCGATAGACGCAGCAGCGATGCACTAAGATTGAGCCTGCGAAAACACGTTCTAATATTTTCGTGCGTGATGAACAGATGAGACGAGATTTAAGTAGCTGAGGATTCGAATGTGATCCTCGCAGGGCACGTAGATGCAAGGAAGAAATTCTATTCTCGGCAGAAGTCTTCCGCGGGTCCTCTCGGTAGTATAAATCGGCTCGAAAGCGAGACGCCGGAGCATGCAGCAGAGATGGAAATCATTCTCAGCTTCGGCAAGGACGGATTCGCTCGCGGGCAGACCCGCTGAATCAGGTAGGAAAGCTTCGTTCCGATTGACGCTGACCGAGCCGGCTTCTGTACGACAGAAAAAAATGTACAATGAAGGTCAATTTCGCGGAACTTGACTATCGGAAGTCATGCGCCAAAGAAAACGGAGAGTCGGCGGAGTCGATCATGGTGCTGGACACCCTCAGCGAGCTAGAACCATCGGCCGTTATCGGACACCGTCCCCGGCTCATGGCGATCACAGGCTTCCGGACAGCGATGATCACTCACTGATATACCGTCAACATGGAGAAATTACCATCCTGATTTCGCGAACAATCCTCATCGAGCCAGAGTTCGAAGCGCGGATGCGACATTTCGACCAAGTTCGACGAGAATCGGCGATATACCGAGCCGGCGAAGACTCAGCAAGGATTCTGCTTCCGGGGCTGCAAGAAGACGATCGTCAACTTGAAGCTGTTTCAGGTAGACGGGTCTCAAACACTCGGCTCTGTGCAGCTATAGAAACTCTGAGGGGAAGTCGTTTGTGAGTTTTGATCGTTCTGGTGCACTCAAAGAATGCTGGCTTCATGCCAATGCAATTTTGTAGAATCCAGGCGTAACTTCAAAATGCTCGTCTGCTTGTCCGAAGTCATGAACATAGTCATTCTTGTGCAAATATTCTTCATCACTGAAAGCGGGACAAGCCATCGTGTCAGTGATACAGCCGTTTTGAGCTCTTCCGGAGGGATTCGAGATTGTGGAAGGGGCGGTTTGTTAGGGCATCGCATTAATGCCCTCAAAGCTCTCGATTCCTGTTATGAGAGGGGGAATGATTGTCCCGGATCGCTCTCTCGGAAACATCCGACTGCCCTAGTCGGGGTTTGTCGATCGAGCTATCCTTTGGTCCAAATCCCACAGTGGGGTCGTAATTGCTTCGTGAGCTCGAGACCAGCCCCCCCCCCTACTCCTCTCTGAAGTGGAGCGGGATCGGATCCAGACCATCATTTTAGTTCTGAGTTGCGGGAGGGTCTCTGTCGCGGAACCTCCGCTCCGACCGAGTTTTGAGAACACCCGTGCATCATCGACTGCGGGACTTCCGACGACTCGAGGGCGGGGTTTGGGTCGTGATACTCAATCATGGATCCTGAGGAGGAGCGTCATCGAGTTGAGCTTTCGCTCTCCTTTGCCGCAAGAAAACAACCCCTTCGAACGCGCTTGTCCTCTGGAAAATTGAGGAATATCAACAATATCATTTAACGCCGGATGAGAAGGCAGATTCTTGCTTGGGTCTATTCTCTGACTCATCCAGCTCCAGCACTCATTCAGGCTGCTCCCAGAGAGGATTGGGTCGTCTCTTAGCCGAGGCGCCAAGTGGGTCTGGCCCTAGTCCCCTCAGGAAAAGAGGAAATACCGTCTTTTCCCCCCTGAATGAGCACGTCGGTCCGAGTGGCGGACCCAGGGGGAGCAATCACCCGCTTGCTCCTCGGAGCAAATCTGCTATTGATACTTCGTGTATGCCGCTTTGGCTCATCCCCCGGACGTCGATAATTTGACACGCAAAGGCAGAGCGATCGATATTTTGGATGACGCTAAGCCCTAGCATCTTCACGACCTTAGATCCCTCTTGTCATCCCAAAAACACTTCCGCAGGCGACGAGCATCGCAACCTCGAACTCGGCTCGGCGTCGACAGCCGACGAAAAGTGTCCGTATTTCACATACGAGCCATGTTAGATTGTTGAGATAGGGATATGGTGTTATGCTGTCCCTCAAGTCCCCGTACAGAGAGTATGCTGTCACCAAGAGGGCTGCTGACTCACAACTGTTTTATTGATACCTTCCGGTGCTATGGGTAGGATCCCGTACCACACTCCTCCCACGATATGTACATCCCGCAACATATGGGCATTGTCCAAGCGTCAATCATTCTCAGGAACCTGAGCCATGCTCGCGCATTGGTGAACACGTCGAGCTAATCGTAGCGCTCAGACCCCCCGCCGTAGGGAGCTTTCCTAAGACTCTACATGTGTATGACACCTGCGAGCGCTCGGAGTCGATCTCGGAGCTAAGTAATCCCGTCAAGGAAGAGTCCACGAACAGGAATGTACAGGCTCCCCGGAAGACTCGGAATGCCTCAGGGAAGAATGCTCTTTTCGAGTCAGTATCTTCTGTTCGTAGCGTGGTCGACGATGTGATAGATTCTGGTAGAGGCTGCCCAATGTTGGAGGGAGCCCGGCTTCTCTTCCATAGAAGCACGGCCCCGGGAACATTTTCGGAGTCAATCCCCCTCGGCCACGCAGTTCTAGGTCAAATATCCATTACTCCGATAGCAGCAGTGAGCTTTACGGAGCTGAATCTCTTCAAGATAGACCTCCCAGCAGAAATCCAGCGCCCGGCTATTGCTCCAGCACGGCTCCTGAAGACGGATAACCCTCGACAGAACACGTCGCCGCACCCCTAGTGATCGGAAGGATTCCCGACCAACCTGATTTCATGTCTGCCGGGAATCAAAAGCATATTTAAAGCATGCAGAATGCAATGAGCATACCCAGCTCATTGCTCCTGCATGGCCTAAATAATCATTGGGCAATTCAACGATGAAGCCGTATGCTTCGGAGAGAACGGCACTGTGTCAGATATTCTATGATATATGAGAACTGTGTCAGATATTCTATGAGCGGCTCTCAGTCAGACATTCTATGATAGTCTGGGGAGTCGCGAGCATTTTCCGTGAGGCCGAAGAGGCACGTAGCGTAGGAGGGAGAAGTTTGAGCGCCGCCGGCCTATTCCAAATTGGGTCGCGTACTTATGAATAGAGTCTGAGGATGTGGCTTCCTTGATTGGAACAGCAATGAATTATGATCATGATCGGCGATGAAATATGACGGCCCAAGTGGGTGATCGAGCTTGTTCCCGGGGTATAGATCCGGTCACGAGCGGGATGCTTCGTTTCATTTGCTATAGTTCGAGTTGCCGAGTTCGGATGAGAACATGTCGCGCTGACAAAGTACCGCTTTCGATGGTGGACCGATTTCAATGAGGTAGTGCGTCGCTTTAGATTAGCACGCGCCGAGGAATATCGGGAATCGGCCTTGTGCCGAGCGTCGGCCAGAAGCCAGAATGAGAGGAAGATCCGAAATTATTGGGCTTTCAGTGGCGGCGATTCGACTCGGGAGGTTCCCACCCGATATTCTCATGCTCGCGATCTATAAATCTACTACTCCTACGTATCTACAAGGGATTCGTGTGTTGTTTGCAACACTCCCGACTCCCGCTAGGAATCGGCATCCGCTCTTATTCGGGATCGAGCGGAATGATTCTCTATGCCCGCGGGATAGGGAGGAGCACGCGCGTTCCTGCTCCTGACTCCCTCGAAATCCGGGAAAAGTTCAAAAAAAGACGCGCGAGCGTCACCATGCGAAGTGGCTCACGACAAGCAATGTCTTCGAGGATAAACTCGAAGTAAAGCTACTAATCTCTAGTCCCAAGTCTTCGCAGGAAATCAGGCATCGCTGCTCCCTCCTGCATTCCGGTCGCCAACAGGAGGGATTTGATTTTTCCGAAGAGAGGCGAGAACCGTACAGGGGCCCACCAACCGAGGATTTTTGAACCTCGCGCCGTGGCTCCGTACCACGGACACACGAAACAGCCCAGAATCACGAAGCGGCTCCCATCTCACTCCTGTGTGGGATCTGCGAGCGGCGCAGCGGCGGCCGACACACGGCAGCAGCCGTCGGACTCGATGCACTCTCATCTGTGAGCGGATGTGTGGTGCCCCGATCGTCTTGATGAGAAGAGCAGTCGACGGTGGACATAGCGGCTGCTCTATCGCTATATTGTTCTCTTCTTCTTCTGTTGGAATCCTTCCTGAACCATGGCGGCTCCCATGGGTGGAAACGGTGAGTTACCGAGGTGCGACTCCCTTCTCGCGAGATGTGTGAGTACGCAGACAAGCGATCCGGTTCCTCGTGGAATGATAGAGAGCTCGCATTCGATCCAGACAAGCTGTCGCCGACATGCTTCGATTGCGAGAGTGAGGAACGACCGGTCGTTTTCGCGGATTCTTCTCAAACGCCAGCGAACCGAATCTACTCCTGCATCTCCTTCTCGGACGAGGCGTTCCAGTCCGCGATTGGTTTTAGGAATACAAAATCGAGCCTCAGTTCCTCGAAGCATGATGCGGGCGCGTCTGCGGGAGAAGAGTCTAGCATTTCTAATCTGAAGTGACAGACAGGACGCTCGGATGTCAGGGGGAATTTCCTCGGGTTCTCCAGCTAACTGAGATTCGCGACTAAATGAAATTGTGCTTCAGACCAGACGTGGAAAATTCCTGACCGATAGTGTCATGGCACTGTCTCCCTGCGATATACACTGTTTGATTTCGCTTGTCTTCAGAATCACTTCCTAGGTCATCGGTGCGGGATATCCTGACTCTCATGAGCGAGATGAATTATCGACCCAGGCCTGGCTAATTGTGGGGCAGGATTTCCGGGGTCTTGACCGGTGATGTGTAGCGTGATAGATACTATAAAAGATGCGCCGCAAAGCGCAGTGAGTCACCTTTGCTATGTACATCATGACAGTCTTGTCACGATCCCCGGCTTTAAAGTCGCTCAGAGAAATGATGAGCGCAGTGTGAGGGAATTGATCTCGAAGAGCTGGGTATCGAGTTTGGGCGGAATCATGCCGACGCGATCGAACCTCCTCGCCGATGCGGGACGCGGAGAGGCAGTTCAAGAATCGTATGGGAACTCTTCGGAGGTTGGAAGGGAATGTCTCCTGACGTTCCCGATCCCTATCGGAGATGGAGGAAGAGATGAACTAAAAGCTGCTCCCTTTCACAGCAAATGTCGTAATCCCTCGAAATTTCCGGCTCTTGGAAGAATTGGAGCAAGGACAGAAAGGTGTTGGGGATGGAACGATTTCCTGGGGCTTGGAAGATGATTCCGACATGACTTTGACGCATTGGAACGGTGAGTCGCTCGAGAGCCCTGACACTCCTCAGTCAAGGATGTGCATCGAGGTCACCGTTATTCGATTCCGCGTAGACTGATATGGGACGGGCCCAACGACGATCTGTATAACGTACGTGATTTGTTTATCGTCAGGCATGATCATCGGTCCGCCAAGATCGCCGTTCGAAAACAAAATGTATTCGTTGAAAATTGAGTGTGGAGCTCAATATCCGGAAGAGCCCCCTTGCGTTAGATTTGTTACTAAAATCAAACTTCTCGGGGTGAACGATACTACCGGTGTGGTCGATCGTCGCCAGACGCCCATCCTGTCCCGATGGCAAAGGAATTATTCGATCAAAAGTATTCTGCAAGTAAGTGCTAGGGTGCAGTCGAGAGGCCTTTGCTTCGATTCATCTCATCGTCTGGTGCTCGGACATCTGGAATCTCCCTCAGATTCCTCACTTCGTTCCTGATCGTTGCTTGCTTTTCCCCCTCAGGAGCTGCGTCGCGCGATGACTGCCAAGGAAAACACTCGTCTGCAACAACCTCCCGAAGGAGCAACTTTCTAGATGGGCTTCTTCGAGTGTTTATTTTGCTTCGAGCGAGGTTTCGGCAGGGAACAACACGCCTGGCGATGGATAAGTGGAATGAAGTGACAACCCACAGCAGAGTCAGCCGGAGGATGTTGAGGTGGTGACTGTCGAAGAGACGAGGTGGAGATCGACGCGGACGAGTCCGCACGTTCGATACTGAGAAGATTTGAAAGGGTGACCGTGTCGGAAGGCAGTGGAGCTGCCACAACAGCAAAATATAGCCGACCCCTCTATATTGATTTCCGTGCTGTTGCGCGTAGTTTCTCACAGATGGTAGACTTTTGCTTTGTTTTATATTTATTGAGCTTCAGCAAAAATTCCAAAAATACGACCAAGGAGTCGACGCGGAGGAGAAGACGGGAGCTCAAAGAGGCGATCCATCGAGTGCCGCCTAGGGATGTCAGCGGTTAATGATAATGACATTTAAACATAGGTGGAAATAAAGTGTAAATTTATAAAGAACCACACCGACTGACCTCCGAGCTCCTCCCATTAACATCCGTATATCGAACTGCCCCGGACTCTGAGCGGAGCCCGGGGCGCTCAGTGTAGCGAGAGGGATCCGACCGAAAATTCACAAATCTCTCCGGTTCGAGTACATACTCGGCAGAGTTTCTATTAGCTTCCGAAGAGCTGCCCCTGGACAAGTCGCTTCATCCGCATGGAACCTCGTCAGCGAGGCTCTAATCGCGGAACTCGAGCTCGAATCCCTTGATCCGGGAGCACATTCCCGACAAAGATCTCCGCATACCCTCGGTGCCTCGACACCATGAACAAGCGGGCCGATCTTACTTCAGAGACCCCGGATAATCATGTGGAGGAGCAGCTCCCTGGAATCTGGAGTCTTCCGGAAATCGCCCCTCATGACGACCGAGTTGCGGGACTTAGGCGATCTCTCAGGGCCTCTCGGCGAACTCCCGATTGAGGGAGTTCCGAAGCTCCATTTGGAGCTTTCCGAGAGGAGAGAGATGCGATTCCTGGCGATTTGTCGCAAGGCTGCTCGGAGATCGGATTGGATTGAGACTTGGGCATTCAATCCCACTCAGCGGGAAGCACTGATCCATCCGAGACTGGCTCACTGATCAAGGGCAGAGCCCCTCTCCCGGTTACAGCTTTTGACCCCGCGGCCCAGGGCCACCGGGGGCGTAAGACGGCTGTGCACGGGGATCTTGACGGAGCGAGCTCCTCTTCTTGATTCCGCGAAGCCTTACGAGGAGATAGATAGATATGCATTTCTGGGCAGTACCAGCCATGCCGCGAAACGACCATCGAAGTCGTTCGATCATGATTCGGTCGGGATTGGCCGTCGACCTTTCGTTCGAGTTTTTAATACACTGAACTCACCTCATTGTGGGCTTCAACAATTAGAATAGGGTCCTTGAATTCCTACGTATCATGAAGCTTGGAAAAATGGACGATTGAAATGGATCTCGTCTCCGCAAATAACTCGCTGTCAACTTTCATATCGAGTTTATTTCCTTATCAGGTAAGGTACAGAATACCGAGGGATGAGGGCTGGGTAATGAACATATCCTGGGCCAAGAGTATATCCATAGCTGTGGCTCCCTATGCTCCCATGAGTCACCGTGTATGCCGTCGGAGCGAGGACGGCGAAAGCTTTGACTTGCCCGACGAGGGTCACAAGAACCAGAAGGCACAGAGCAGATCCTAAGAGCTTCTTCAGGTTGCTCGAGTACGGCATTTCTCCTCAGAGTGGGGTTCTCGAGCGATTCGATAGATTTTTCCTGTCGAATGAGGATATAGACGGAAATTACAGCGCTTATAAAGATCGGCAAATTTGGGCGTTCCCTCAGCCCGTCGCCCTCACAGAAGAAAAAGGAATGGCTTGCATGCATAAGTGAGCGATCGGCTACCGTTGGAGCAATACTTCGCGATTTTCAGGGCTTTTCTTCTTCTGCATCTTTACACAGCCTTGACCACCCGTCCTGAGGATCTGTATTCGTGACTTCAAGGGTCGAACTGACGGTTGGAAACGCCCTTCGCCAACCCGCTCGGCATTATTTTTTGGCTCCCGATCGGCCCGCTCTCGGCTCGAGACTCGGAATTTTCGCCGAGCATAGAAACAACGAAAAATCGGAATCCCAGACTCAAAATCATCATGCTCGAACTCGGGAAGAATCATTATGCTTGACATACGTACCTATGGATCAGCCTGTACGAGCAGTCATTCGCTGCTTCTTTGGTTGGACGAAAAAGTACCTTGATGATGTGAGTTCCTCATCCGTGGTCCAAATCGAAAACTGGCTGGAGATAAGGCCCGCCAAGAGTCGTTTAGTCTTGTTTACTCAATTCCCGTGAAAGGACACTCCGTCAGATTCCACAGTGAACTGGTTTCGACGAGTAGCGAAACTTTTGCAGCATCAGTTGTCCCGTGTCTTCGTCCCAATGTGCCATTCTGCACTGGTAAAAAGTGAATCGCAGCTGTCTGCTGACGCCGAGTGCCGAATTGAAATAGCGAGCCAATGCGCGATGATCAACAGGAACTCTGTCCTAATTGGTTGCGCACAAGGATCGTTCCAGTTCTGGACTGCCTCAGAGATCCTCTACATCGCCGAGGGAATGAAGTTCTACGCTTGGTTTCCTCAGAGATCCTCGAATATTCGATAGAGGAGCTGAAAAGTTTCCGCAAAGCACGCCTCTGGGCGAAGTCTGTTCCGGAAACGAACGACTACGAGCTCTTTAGGCGCGTCTTGCACCGCTCGGGACAGTTTCCGTCCCATGAGGACCGGACGATCGTACAAAAAGTCCCATCCCGGGTCGCACACTCTGCGTACCCAGACCCGACAAAAAACGCATCGTCTCATTATTCATCAGGAATGATGATAATAATGGATTCAGCGCACGGAAGACGTTCCCCGGTTCAGAGATTTTCCATCCGATCGATTCACTTGACCGAGAAACTCGTCTCTTGAGAGATACGATGCGGTTAGACCGTGGTAATTATAGACGATCCGGCTCAGCTTGAGTTCCGATTTCCATCTAGTGATCTCCAACAGCCCTGCTCCGATCCAACGCACATGAGCGGGCGGTCGCTCGGCTTCAAGGTTAACGTGTGCCCCGCCGGGCACCCTACGGTGCAGAGTATATTCATATAAGTCGCGGTTTTTCCAATTTTCTCTCACTGTCACCCTAGTGCGCGGTGATCGTCCACAGGCGCGATACTAGGCTGCTTTCGTGATCGCGAGCTGGAAGTTTTTTCGGATTGTGAGTGAGTGCCTCCGAATGAAATAGCTTCGCGCGTTTGACCGCTCTTTCGCTCCGATAGCGAGTCTCCTCCTGACAGAAGCAGGAGTAGCAGCGACGAAAACAATTCTTGAATGTCAAGTTTTAGAACACTCAGCTTAGGTAAGTTTAGTCTAGCCAGTGAGCGAGAGAATAGATCAGATCAGCGGCGAACATCTCCGAATATCTCGGAAGCTGGGCACGCTATGTCTCGATTGCTCCCTGCGTGATTTCAATCCACGGCGAGCCGCAGATTCTCCCCGGTCGTCGAGTCGTCAGCGTTTTCAAATGCATGACAATCCTGAGGAAATCGTCTTCGTCTTCCTTCTGGCTGGCCCCGACAACGTCCCGCGGTGATAGTGCTCTCTTTCGTTGCGGTAATCGTTGACAGCCTCAATTATTACAAGAGACTCGTGCGCGGCCACCGCCGACTTATTATCTCTGACCACTGAACCAGACGGATGTATGTGCGCATGGATCACTCGGTGACGTGATGACAACCCGCATCGTAGACGAGTTGCGGCCACGGCAGGCGATGGCGGGAAACTCCTCAGAGGCCAATAAACGACGAGACCAACAGACACACAGACTCTCGAACAGACGGACAAACAAACAGCAGAAAAGTGTTACGCGGTTTCGTGGCAAACATTTAGGTTAATTCCTCATTTTTAAAACACTCATTCTCCATCGAGGTTAGCCGGATGCGACGCAACTTGAGACCTTTATCGAGGGAAAACTTTCCAAATGACAAAAAGCCGAATTCCCAACATCGTCCGCGCCGTTCCTACTCCGTTCCCTGGTTGTGTGGCGGTCGATGCAACGCCCGATCTATCGGGTGTCTCCGGTACTACAGCTTCGAAACCTATGGACTAATGAATCTCGACCGCCCCCTCAGGTACCCACATCAAGTGAACCGGATCCTCATCTGCGAAACAGCATGCTTCACCGTCACATCCATAGACACAACAGCGTTTCAGCCGCTCGCAAGTACTCTAATGGCACCAAACCGTTTCCGATCAGAGGTGAGTAAGCAGGATAAGCGTTCCGGGGTTCCCGGAAGAAGTCTCGAGAATGAAGTCGCGATTCACGACATCGTTCAGAGGGGCTCGATGCATATCCCTCGTTCGATCTAGAGGTTTCGTCCCGCGTCGTTTAAGTGATTGATGTTTGAAATCTCTTACGGAAGTTTCCTGAGGTGTTCTGGGGTATCCCCTCCGTATGACCGAGGCCGTACCCGCGTCACTCGCTGATTCCGCCAAATCCCCCGTCAGGTCTCGAGTTGAGCCCTGCACCGCGGTCGTAGCGCTCCACGTCCGTCGCGACACGGGACAACCCGCGAGATGACGGGGGCGTTTTGAACGGTTCCGGACAGCGGGGTTCTTCTTCGATTGAGCGGCACATTTCCAAAGTACCAACCCGGTGAATCACCGGATGCACCGTCTCCAATATCTTCAAAAAGCTCTAGAGAGGGCAGAGAGCACATTTCCTCTCTCTCTCTCGATCGTAGGATCAATAAACACTTTAAAGCTTCGAACACAGACTGGCTGTTCGGAATCATATGCTCGCCTAGCCGACCCAGGTTCCTCAGTGTGGCCAGACCGCATCGCTTCTACGTGCTCAGACGCAGAGTTCTCGTCGGATCGAGTCGTATCCCATCATCGTCCTCCAGTGTAGGACTCGGTCATCCGTGTTCGATCAGAGACGCTGACGTCACCGCTCGGGAAACTCCTTGAGTCGGCGACGATCCGTACAGCTCGTCAACATTCTGGTGTGAATATACAAGGGAGCTTGTGCTCGAGAGAGTTCCTCGTGTGCCGTCTGCTCGGGCTGTGACAGACTTTTGACAGTCATTTCGATCTAAAGGCGTCTCTCTCGAGTCGATCTAGATCGAAAGTTTTGCTTGAGCTCTTCGCTGAAGTGGACACTCCTTCTTTCGCCGGCCGCCCGTTGACTATCCATCCATCTATCCCTCGCTCCCCGGCGTCGCTAGGGAAATCCTTCACCCGTTCGCGAGTTTCTTGTGGGTCTCTTGGCGCCTAATAGAAATTTATGACAAATTTCTTGTCTGGACAATAAGAGACATCCTCTAAGGGCAATTAGCAGCGCTCTATAAAAGAGCGCGAATACTTGACCGGGCGACAGACTCTTTCTCACCGTGTTACGATGGAGACGCCGGTCGGTAGCGCGTGCGGTTGTGGTCTAGCGAAGACATGTGCGTTACTGGGCCAAATGGCCCAAGATGCCCACCTCCGCAAACTTGCCGAGGCAATCAATCCCCAGTCGCGACGGAGGAGAACCAGCAGCAACACCAAACCGTTCCCGGTCCGAGGTAGGTTGAAGAAATACAACATGTCAATTCACGACAATCAGCGCAGTGTAGTCGACTTGAGCGACAGGTGGTCTGACACCTCGATGTGACTGCGATGGTAATTCGAGCTCTCCCGTCATGATGTCTGCTCCGATGGCAAACTCTTGAGAGCGACTTTGGAAACGACTCTCGATTCCGAAGAAGCGTCGACTGGATTTTTTGCAGTCTCTGCGCTGAGCATGTCTTCGGAGTTTACCGTGTCAGAACGTCGCGTCGGATCGGCAAGGGCTGTCCTGGAAGAAATCGGACTCCTCCTTGACCGCTGCTGCTCCGCACCAAGCCTTCCGTCCGTTAATTAATCAACTGCGCCTAAATGAGGCGTGGACATCAGACGATGCGACGCATATTATCCCGCCAATCTTCCGACCGAAACGACGTCGCAGATAAAGACCGAGTAGGGGCTTTAGGAATGAGCGCCAACGTTATTTTCCGGGACGCTCCTGTAGATTTCTCGGCGTCTCGATCCTTGTCATCGTTTCCATGATGGTAAAGAATGATTCGATCTCAATCGATGACTCGAGAGCATCCCAGCGTTTCGACGCAGTATCTCTGGAAGGACAATCTTGGTGTGTTATTTCGAACATTCGGCATTATAATCATTGATACGGTGATCTCGGAAGGGTCCGCGTCTCCCTCTCGAGAGGGCTCATCTTAGCAGCGCTCCACTTATGGAGAACTGACGTAAGATAAGAATCTCCCTTCTTTTCATTGTTGGAGTCTTCGGAGAATTCCTTTTCGCGGTATGTTTCGCGAATCGCGGTTCTGGAAAGCCGGATTATTGTTTGGATTTGCGACATCCAATGAATCAGAGTCTGGATAAAGAATGTCCTCCGTTATCGAATGCATTCGATTTCGACTGACCATAGAATTCCACAGGAGGAGGCTTCCCTCAGCGGAGTATTGGATCTCTCGGCATCGATTGAACAGAAGGACGATATCTGGCGTTCGCTAGGGTGTTCTTTTCTGTCATTCGTCGTTTCCGGCGACCTTCGTGCGCGTTTATTCTATTCGAATGACATAAAATCTGGGACATTCGTCATTGGACCGCTCGGCGATTCGGGAACATAAATACCCACTTCTCTTTTCTCTACTCAGTCAGTCGGAATGTGACGAGGTTCCGAAACGTAAACTACGTTTAGATCCCGCTCTGCTGCAGCACTTGCATCGAGCGCGTATGAGAAGCAGACAGTTTTATTTTCCCGTCGGCACCGACCAGCGGCGAGTGTTCTCGACGGCAGCAGCGGCGGCGGTGTTGCTTGCGACCAAGAGCGCATCTCTGCACAAAGTTCGGTGATTTCAACACATCCAGATTACTCGCGCGAAGTATATCTCAATAGAGTGTATCGGAAGCATCCGTCTCTTTGAGCGTTTGTTATCCGCAGTAAAGTCCGCGGCGTATCTTTTGCTCGGCTTTCTCACATCTCTGTCACAGCCCTGACGAGGAAGAGACCTTCGCATCTGCGAGTATCGCGCCGGACTCGAAAATCGCGATAAAAAATGGGCGTAGTGAGAAATGACAAGAACCCCGGTCACAACGGATACAAGTCCTACCCAGCATCCTGGACCGAAGGTAAATCCGGAAGATTGGAGATTCATGGGCTTCGTTTCGTCCCCGAGATCGTCTTCGCCATCGAGCTCGGTGGGACAGTCTCACGGTGAAATTCGGTGTTATGTCGGACTAGGAGCTCGCGGTGGCGATGTGCCGTCCTATCGGTGAGTTCCGGTGTGGTAGATTGTCTCCGCTCGGAGAAACAACACCAGAGCAAACTCGAGTTCTCTCCGCACACCCGTATCGTCACTCGGACGGAGAGCGGGTCGTTGGGAGAGTTCAAGCTACGATCATGCAGATTATCCCGGCTGAGCTGCGACTGCCTGTATGTGTGTTGTCTACCGAGTGATGTCTTCTTGTCCGAAGTTTCATCGTGCAAGTTTCGATTCCATACAGCAGAGCGGTCCAATGCCCAAAAGGAGCCCACAGTCCAGAGGGATGAGAGCCCCTTTGAAAAAAATTCGGATGAATAGTGCTGGTAGGCGATACGGACCCCGAGTGGTCTACCTCTGGATCCCGCTCCGAAGAGCAGTTAGGTTCTCGCGGGATCCCCTCAACGACTCTCCGTGCTGTTCCGTTTTCCGGAAGTGGCGTCGAAGAACCGTTTAATGGTTCGGGTCGTGAAGGCGACATCAAAGAACTCCTATAGTCAATACTTTCTGAATATTCTGTCATATCGTTCATCTCATTGTTGTTCCAAATCGTTCGTGTATGATCTGAAAGATGTCGTCGACAGCAGCCCATGGCCAGACTGGTTAAGCCTCGTTGATCTTGGCGCGATTTTTTCCCGCTGACCTTCAACGAGAATGGGAACTCTTTGAGTCGCCAGGCGTTACGACAGCTTCGTGAACCCGTCGTGTGAATATCGGTGGCTTTAGAATGAATGAGCCCGGATGATCATTCATTACGAGCAATATCTGCCGTAGGAGAAGAGCTGACTCTCCGGAAAGACGTCAGGACATCCGCTCCAGATCAGTGTTCATAAAGTTGATGGGTATTTTTCGCCTGGCAGGTGACCGAACGAATTATGTCAACTTGCCGCATGTCATCGCGATGGTGGGTTTGCCTGCTCGAGGCAAAACCTACATCGCAAAGAAACTCACTCGTTACTTGAACTGGATTGGAATCAGTACCAGAGTCTTCAACGTGGGAGAATACCGTCGTCAAGCCACCGAAGCCTACAAGAGCCATGACTTTTTCCGGCCAGACAACACGGAGGCCATGGCAGTCCGTAGCAAATGCGCTCTCGACGCCCTTGAAGACATGTGCAAATGGTGAGTTGGATCTCGAAAATCGAGAGATCGATTACTCCATATTCCGAGTCCGTCCCGCCCGTCACAGATTTCCGATCCCGTGGCCAAGTTGTCTGTCCGCTCTGTTCCACTCCCGAGGGACGAGGGTGGCTCGATCCGAATTGACTTCCGAAAACTGCGACTCCGTTCCCGCTTCAGGCTCGAGAACGAAGAAGGCGAGGTTGCCGTGTATGACGCCACGAATACCACGAAGGATCGAAGGAAGCTCATACATGACGTCGTCTGCGAACGCTACGGCTTCAAACTGTTCTTCGTCGAGAGCTACTGCGACGATCCGAACATCATCGAAGCGAACATTCGCGAAGTCAAGGTCAACAGTCCCGATTACAAGGGCTACATGAATCAAGACAAAGCCCTCGAGGACTTCATGCAGCGAATCCACCACTACGAGCTCTGCTACGAAAGTCTCGACGAATCGGAGAACTACTCATTCCTCAAGGTGAATCCCCGAAGCGATCGCTTATAGGAGCGATGAATTTCGTGCATTCGATCGCGCTCGTTCACATCACACATTATCACTTATAATAACCACCGCGAGCCCCTCCCTCAATCCGCTATTGGCCGCTCACTTTGGATTCCATGGTTTTACCGCATGTAGAAATCGTGGTTTCTCTGCTTGGCAACACCCGCTTTAGCTAGTATCATCAAGTTTAGCACACATTTCAGCGAAATCGGGGCAGAATGGAACAGGAGCAGGTTAGCAACGCGCGGGATCACGCAGGGGTTAGGAGAAACATTTAGGACATTTAGAGAAAACAAACATTTCTTGCGGAGCATAACCGTCCTCACGCCTTGTCCGTGCAATCCTACAGCTCCGACTGCAAGCACTTCAATGCGAATCGTTTTGCAGGTCTACAATACGGGACAGAAAGTTGTCGTCCACCGACACGAAGGCCATATCCAGTCCAGAGTCGTGTACTATCTCATGAACATTCACATCATGCCGAGGTCCATCTACCTCACGCGGCATGGCGAAAGTGAACTCAATCTGCAAGTGAGTGTCGATAAGCGATTCGACCGCATGCCATGGGGGACTTTCTCCCTAGGGCTTGCGATTGTTCGCGTCATCCATCTGTGTGGAGGAAAGGTGGAAGTCTGAATGGACTATTATTATTGAGAGGAGCCATCGTCAGCGACTGGCGATTGCGAGAAAATTACTTTTCGGGCTGACGATCTTTGTTCCTATTAGGGCCGTATTGGCGGCGACGCTGATCTCTCCGCGAGAGGCTGGGAATATTCCAGAGCGTTGGCGAAGTTCATAAAAGATCAAAACATTCCGAGACTCCGAGTTTGGACTTCCCAGCTCAAGAGAACCATCCAGACAGCCGGAGGCATCGATGCGCCCCAGGAGAGGTGGAAGGCACTGAACGAAATCGACGCGGTGAGCATCCCAGACCGCGGCAACGGTCGTCCCTACATTCATGATCGCGTCCACATATCCGGCATGGGGAACAACAGCTCGGAACCTTGGAAGGGGGAACCCCGTAACCTTGAAACCCTATAATTCTGTGGTCACGTTTGCGTGTGCTATTCTAGGGAATTTGCGAAGAAATGACCTACGAGGAAATTCAGGAGAAATTCCCCTCCGAGTTCGCCGCTCGGGACCAAGACAAGTTCCATTACCGCTATCCTCGCGGCGAATCGTACGAGGATCTCGTCGCGAGGCTCGAGCCCGTCATCATGGAGCTGGAGCGTCAGGAGAACGTTCTCGTGGTCGCTCACCAGGCTGTGCTCCGGTGCCTTCTCGCCTACTTCCTCGACAAGAACTCCGGTAAGTGTTCGGATGAGGTTCTCCCTCTTTCGAATATCGAAGAGACATTCACGTAGAGTAGGTAGCTAGCTGGTTAATCGAGTAGTAAAAGGTTCAGGGGCGTCAGGAGAACGGATTATGAAATATCCTGTGCTGTCTACGATGGTCGGATGGTGAGATTTGGTGTTGGCTGTTGGCAGATGAGATGCCGTTCATTCACACCCCACTGCACGCCATCATCCAAATCAAGAAAAGCGCTGCCGGGTCCGTGAAAACCGTGTTCACCGTGCCGATCGAAGCGGTCCAGGACGGACATATCGTATGAGTTGCCTACGAGCAGTCGTTCGTTCATTCAGAGGATCAATCGATCAATTCTTGAATCAACGAACCAATCAATCAATCTGTCAATCAATCCATGGACGATGCGATCTTATCCGCTCCAAAACGCATGAACGGATAAAGTTTGCAGTAGCCGCATCTCAGTAGTTTGTAACAAGTCTTCCGTACGCGGCTGGAAATTAGCTGGCATGAAGCCTCTCTGCAGACTTCTTCCGACTACTGTTGTAGTGAAGTAACCTCTGTAGCTGTGAGACTTTCCCTAATATACTGCCTTGCCGCGAGGCGATTATTGATAATGATATGGAAATGCTTTGACGCATTATTAACCAGAAAAGGACGACCGAGCGAGTTTGACAGAGATTCCGTGTTTGAGATTACGACTCTGCCCGTGAGGTATATCAAGTCTTCCAAGAGCATCAGAGCGAACGTTAGACACATGAATAAAATGTAGCCGTTCATCTGATTATACATGTAATTTTAGAGCCTGTACAATCAATTGCGATCTTTTCTCTATAGATTGATGAAATAATTGATTGACAAACAGACAGACTCGGAGGATCGACTCAAGAGTACCTGAGACTCATACGGAAGTCTCGGCAACTGATTGACATTCGACGCCTTTTATTGATTCCACCACTAACTCAAGCGCCTGTTAACCCGGTTGAACTTGGAGGCGAGCGGCAGGTTCGAGAGGAACGTAATGATCCCTTTGTTTGTCGCTATTCGAATGCGCCGGGTCAAATGCTTAGGTGACGACTGAACATATATCTTGCGAACCGCGAAGGCCCGTTTTCCTATTTGAACTCGATCGTCGATGCTTTTCTGTTGACCCGCTTATGAGGATGTGATAATAATTATCATGATGACCCCATGCAAGTCGGAATCATGAATGCGACCATTGTTAATATATGACATGATTATGATGACAGGAAGTGAAAACGAGAGCCTTTGGGAATATCATTCCGCCATTCTTCCCTAACCTTTCGACCAGGAAGACGTGGAATAAATGAGTTCAAGTCTCGACTCGCTTCCGATGCTTTTGAGATATCTACATATCTATGAATCTTATCGGCTGTGGATTCTAATCCTTCTTTGGAACCCCGTGTGGCAGAGATTTCGTATTTTGATCCGCTGCGAGAGGGTGGTTCTGAGGCATTGACGGATACTTACTTGAGGGCTTAGCACAAACTCACAAACGTCTGAACTAGGATTAACGTCGTTATCTTCTGAGACAGCGTTAGGCTCGAGCGAGCCACTTCCAGACTACCAGTTAGCGAATGAGCGAAATGAGTGTTTTTAAAAGGAATGAATGTATGCGAAACACTTGTTGTTTTCCTGTCGTGAGGATCCTCGAAACCATGCTGTATGATGTAATTGAACGAAAAGCCATTTTCCGTCAACGCTGAACGCTGCTTCCAGAGGAACTGCCGTATTTGAGGGTTCCACTTCATGCTATTCTGAAGCTGACGCCATTGGCCTACGGCTGCGATCTACAAGTGTTCCAGATCCCGATTGAAGCCGTCGACACCCACCGCGACAAACCTTCGGTGAGTACGAATTCACATCCGTTATTTTTTAGCGACAGAATCTCTCGTTGCTAACATTGGCATAGACACGTGAGATGATAGTTGATATGCTGCATCCACGCTCGCTTTCCTCAATCCTGCGCTTCGCGCGCGCAAGCATCGCTTTTAGCTTTCATCATAAATGCACCCGAAGAACAGCACTAACTGTTGATTCGGTGTCTCTGATCTTGCGCGGTCGCTAGCAGCACCCGCTCGTGCACAAGGCATAAGTCTTCTTGGTCCGTCGATAATTGCGTAGCGAAAGCGATGTTGGCAGCGATGCGAAGTCGAAACTCTGTACGCCCCATGAGATATCGCCGCGAGTGCTCATAGTCACGTACAGTCATGTAGACGTGGCATGATTACGATCCTGTAAGATCAGTGGCGTAAATAATCGGGAGCAGCTCGTCCCTGAAAGCTTGGGGAAAGTTCCAGTGAGCAGATAGAGGTCGCGTAGCCTATATCACTTTGAGGTTCTGTTTGGCGATCCAAGTCGCTCTGAATGAGTTTTCTCGGTGGAGATTCACGAACACGCTCGGGTTCCGGAAAAAGAAAAAGCACTCACAGCAAATTCGGTAGAGGAATCGACCAGGGATTCGGAACACACGCACCCAGTCTTTCTATCTTGCCCTTCACATTAGATCACATCTCAAACGGATAACACCTCTCGGTCGGCTTTGCTAGGCAGGAATTTTTTTTCGTGCTGCTCATGTTGAAAGATACTCCTCTCTGGGCAGCTCTGTTCAGGCTACGGAGAGGCTGCCCCCTACGCACTATCGGAGCTGATATTGAAATCCACCTAGGAAACTCCTCTGAATTCGCTTCCCCAATCGTTCGACGCCAATCCAACTCTGTCCCTAGGAGGGATTTTTTCAATCGTACCGGCGACCACGTCGAGGTTCTTTTCCATTAAACCCAAACAATTCTATCTGCGGGATAAGGCTTAGAATAGGATACAATTTCTAGGTTCCTGGAGAGCTGAACCCGGAGTTTCTGAGCCAATTCTGCAAGAGCCCCCCGGTTGAGCCGGCGATCACTGGACAAAATCTCTGCTGTCCGCACCGACACACGCATTGTGTCGATGGAGGGACCGTGGTTAGAGGATAAATGTCTACCCCAGACATTGACTATGCATCCGCATATCTAGCATCATACAAAAGTTCCTGGTCGACTCGTTGTGGAAAACCCCGACTGTCATACATTCCAAAAACTAGAAGAAAGAAAACTAGGGTCGGCTTGTAGTTGCTCGCTCGGCAGAGGCACAGCGAGAGGCTGCCCGGACAATCAACAAGAAACAGTAATCCTAAACTAATCTCCATCAACAAGGCTCCATACCACTAACGCTGCATTTACGCTTCCCACTGATCGCGAAAGTGAGCTGCAAACATCCGCAACTCCTAATCAGATCCATCGATAGCATCAACGGTATCGGAATGACGACTTTCGAGCAAAGAAATATATGACTATGCCTCCAGAATAAAAACAAAGTGGTTCACAATCACCCTTCGGAAATTCCCTTATTTGGCTCCCTGTGGGGTCCGCACGGTGTCATCACGGCACCACGACAACTGAGGACCGACGGAGGAGAATATCGCTTGTTAACTCACTTGCTTGTCCGCAGAACGAAGAATCGACCGAGCAAGACTCAAACCAACCCTTAGTTTAGCACAAGGTACTGTAGAGAGAGAATCTGTGCATGACCGTGTGCATATAATACGACTCCCCGATGCATGGTAACGCCGCTTCCAATGTCGATGTTCCTCGATGTTCATCCCGACCCCCTCCCCCCTCCCGTCGGCTGAGTGTCTGCCCATTTCCTCTCTGTCGGAGCCTGCTCCTCGGTTCTGACGGATAGCTTTGTCTCGTCTCTTGCTCATTATCCACCAGAGCGCTGCCGCCCGTCGTGTTGAATTCGTTTCCCTCGTTGTCCGGCCCGAGATCATCGACACTAAAAGAAATTTTCATCGAACTCGATGTTGCAGAATGTGCAGACAAACCGTGCAGCGCAAGAAGCCTTGGCGACGGTGCCTCCGCACTTCTGAAAATGAAGATGACATGCGCTCGTTGCCGCAAGATGCAACTCTTCCAGCGTCGTAAAATGAAGGACGGAGGAGTTGTTACAACCTAGTATTAGTCGGTATTCGATAATCCGATTGGGAGTGGTAGTTCTACTAAAGTACTTGCTCGGCTCACCTCGTCGTGCAGACTCGTCTACATTCGTTGATTGTTATTCAAAGCCCGACATCAAACAACCATGAGCTGAACCATAGGTTGCTGCTTATCTTGCTTTGTGATAGCAAGACGGCCGTCGTATCATAAGTTCATTCCATGTTCACACTTTAGCCATGTGTTGGACTTATCATCATGACAATTGTCTTCATCTGCGGGAGTGTTCCGACCGCAAACGAATCTTATGAAGTTGTTCCATAGACGCTCCCACAAGATGGTGTTCCGAACAAGAATACCTCCATGGAGCGTTACCTGTTGATACTTAGTCGACTTCCATCGATGAGAATCATCAAGGAAGCTCCAAGTCGCGTTGGAATGATTCTCCCCTTGCATCGGAGACTTCGAATGATATCACTCCAGGAGTGATGATCTTCTCGAGTCATTCTACCAAACACAGTGTTCGACAAGATGAGTGTTTCGCAATATAGTGGAATGAGGATCCTTATGAAAAATTTTTAAACTCGTTGGGGGCTGCGGAGCTTGAAAATGTACTCCGATTAAGTGTGCCTCAATCGGGGTGGAGTTACTGTTTGTTCGCAGTGAAAATACCAATCATGAATCAGCTCGAGCAGGGAACGTCCAGCATAGAGCCAGAACAATAAATGACGGAATATCTATCCGAACGGAGTATGAGGATCTTGTCATTTTCCCGAATGAATCTACAGGCCGACTCTCTGTCGTTTATCTCGACACTCAGGGCAGGCCGTTCCTCAGCCCGCACTGGATGCTGGACTGAGTAAGTACAAAACATAAATCTTTGTCTTATCCTCTCGAAAATAACGGGGATGAACTTCAGCGCAGCGGTAGGATCCGCCTCCAGTCCGATGGGACTGACTGAGTCTTAGCCGAAGACGGAACAGAACGACGATGTCCCGAGGGATTGATTTGTTCCCCAAAGTCGAACCCAGTGATGTCCAATCCTGGGGTTAATAACCATATATTGTTTTGCTGGATCAAGGGTTTTCAGTCCGAATCCATAGGGGTCTCCGAAATTTCTCGAGTCGGAGTATGGGTGCTTCTGAATGCTGCGGTACCAGGGTGCATCTCCGAAAAAGCCTCGACCACTCGAGGTGCATCGCGAAGCACTCAGTCTCAGTGAGCACCGTAGCTGTTGTGGGAGACATCAATAGGTTGCGGACCGTGCTGATGTGCCGCCCCTTGCGGTGTCTCGGAACTCTCAGCTTCTCGCGGCGGCAAGCGGGAACGTTGCCCCTCGCGTCGCCGCAGACCGCCTCAAGCCCTCTTCCCCCATGGCCTGCATGATCACTTCCCGAATCTTTTCCCTCGGTTCGCTAATGACCGCAATCCTCGGGTTCGGTGGTTTCAATGATTGAAGGAGTCCGTCGTTGTTGATCTTAATGCTAGGAAACACCCACTTCGATGAGAATCATTCCGTCGAAAGACCGGCACGAATGATGACTTCGGAAAACAGGATCGTCCATCATGATAGTCGAACATTTCATCACACCGCCCCAATGCGGCATTCTTGCCGTCGAGCAATTCCTGAGACTGCTACTCGGATTTCGTACAGACGCGCATATGAACGTTGATCGCTATCCCATCGCTAGAGCCCGCGTCGAATGCCCGTCCCATCGACTCTCGCCCTCTCATCCGATCCGTAAGCTACTCTAGCAATCCGGAATCGCTCAAATACGCTGAGTACTGACTACTGACAACCTCCATGTGAAGGCTGCCCCGCTCCCGTCCTCTACACAGTGTCTGAGCCGGTGTCGATTTTGGAGAGCTCACGTGCCGCAGACCAGAATCGCCTCGATACTCACCGCTTGCTACTCATCTTCACACTTCGCGAAGCCCAGTCATCTATAGAAGGAATCCAAAAGGTTATTCAAAGTGCACTGTATGCCGGCATAACCATCGTCTGGTTCAGCTCATGGGGTCCGGCGGCTCTGATAGCGACCGATTGAAGACGACTGACTTTGCAGGCATAGGACTCGGGCCGGAGAATCGACTGGCACGGGATCTCATCCGATCGAGCGCTGTGTTCTAGCTCCCAATCATATATCCACACCATGTCGAAGCCCATTTTCCTGACGCGCCACGGCGAGAGTGAACTCAATCTGCGTGTGAGTTCGCGGTGTAAGATGCGCTCCGTTGGAAACCATATATGCACGACTTTACCTTCATGAGGCTCTTATCCGAATCAGGGCCGAATCGGCGGCGACGCTGATCTCTCCGCGAGAGGCTGGGAGTACTCCAGAGCGTTGGCCGGGTTCATGAAGGACCAAAATATACCGAAACTCAGAGTTTGGACTTCTGAGCTCAAGAGAACCATCCAGACAGCAGGAGGCATCGATGCGTCTCAGAAGAGGTTTAAGGCATTGAATGAGATCTATGCGGTGAGCTTCGAGTCCAAACTCATTGATCTCGGTTCATATCGTAATCGAAGTGCAGGAGTGCTCGTCTCGGCATTATTGATACATCGCTCCCATTCGGTGACATTGTGCTCACATTTAATTCCATTACCTCAGGGCATATGCGAGGAGATGACCTACGAAGAAATCGAGGAGAAATTCCCGGTCGAGTTTGCTGCCCGGGATCAGGATAAATTCCATTACCGCTATCCGCAAGGCGAATCGTACGAGGACCTTGTCGCGAGACTCGAACCCGTCGTTACGGAGTTGAAGCGCCACGGGGATGTCCTCGTGGTCGCTCACCAGGCTGTGCTCCGATGCGTCCTCGGCTACTTCCTCCAGAAGAACGACGGTGAGTCTCCCTTATTCCCGCGACGAAAAGCCTCCCGGGGTCTCCAACATGGGCCGAAGACTTAGCCGAGTTCCACGGAGGAAGCTTTAGCGACGAAATCTGCGATATGTGCGAATCATGTGCAACGTGCCGACGCGGCGAACGGACACGTTGTATGAAGTTGCTCATCAGCATACCTCTTCCCCTCCGGAGCATAACTCTTTTTTTCTTTTTGCAATCGATCCAACGTCTATGTATAGTCAATTCCTCCGGGAGCGATTTCAGCCGCAATGAGTTGGGAGCAATTTTCCTGTTGCCTTTTTTCGGATCTCTGGGGCAGCGAAAGGACGACAGTAGCGAACGCGTTCCCCAACCGGAAATCGCGCTCACAGACTGGAATCAGAGGAAATACTTCCCCGACCAACGCTGAATGCTTTTTCCAGCGGAATTGCCGTATCTTAGGGTCCCACTTCATGCGATTCTGAAACTGACACCACTAGCCGGCGGCTGCGAGCTTCAGGTGTTCCAGCTCCCGATTGAAGCAGTCGGAACTCATCGAGGATGAGGACTTACTGTCCTCAAACCGCGGTTTGGACGCAGAAGGCGATTTTTGCGCACGGCGAGTATGGCGCATGGTCACCGCAGGCGCTAGAAACCTGAGGTAAGCGCGGATGCTTTACTAACTGCTCGCAAGGCAATCTGCCGTGCTCGTTTTCATCAGAGGTCTCGCTCACGGTTCCCACGATGATCTTCTTCTTTGACGATCGATACCATGCTGCGAACGTTCCCGCTCCCGACAGTCTCGCTCCTCACCTGCATCAGCGACACCCCAAGCTCAAATCGGTGATATTTTGACAGTGGGGGAGTACCGCCGTCGGCTATCCCCTGTCGAAACTTGAGGATCGAGAGCTCGCGTGACTCCAGAGCAGAATTTTCTCCCAATGATCGCTGAGGCTGAGATTCGACCGCAGCCAGAGGATCGATATAATGAGGATATAATTCAATCAGCCATTCCTTTGTCTGCAGAGAGATGGATTGAGCAGCAGGACTCAACCGAGCCTCCCCGGAGCGAGAGTTGCGGTTCAAAGAGCAATGGAGTGCGGCATAGCGAGCCCGTGGAACCTGGGAAATGCGGCACCTACATACGTCATTACATTCAATATCTCAATGTTCTTCCATCTGTCCATCGGCTTCGTGTCCATGAATTTTCCGTCTTCGCCCGGAACACGATCGGAAGCTCCTCGCCTCTCGACGATTCTTCCATCTATCTATCTATCTATATATATAAAAACGTATGTCTGTTTGTCTGTCTGTCTGTCTGTATGTCCGGGGTACCCTATAGACTCGAAAACGGCCGAACCGATCGTCGTGAAAATTTGTGAGCGTGTTCTGTGGGATCCAGCGGTGGTTATAGGGGGGTCAGTTCTCCGATGCGATGAGTCCTTCTACCTTAAAAAAATTATTTGAGTGCTCCACCCACGAAAATACGAAAACTCGGAAAAAATTGAAAAATCGCAAATTCGCTAAATTCACAAACGCCTGAACCGATCGCCGTGAAAATTCAGGGGTGGGTTCTCGGGAGTTGTAGAAAAGCGATGAGGGGGTCGTCGTGCCCGTATGATGAGGATGAGCTCTTTTTCCCTTGGAAATTGAGTACCGGGTCCCTCACCGGAAATCGTTCGGCGGGAGTTTCCAGAGTTCTCCAGAATTTTCGTGATGGGACAATCAATGCAGGTATGCGGTCTCGATCTCGAAAACCCGTATCACAGAGAATCATTACCAGACAAACAAATACAAGAGATCCGGAACATGTGTCGCGAAGCGCTCATAGCTGTCGCTGCGCACGTTTCAGGCTGTTTTGTGGGATCTTCTTTCAGCAAATATCGTTTTCAGAGAGCCATAGCGACATTAGCGCGGCAAACTCGCCGAGTAGCTGTCTTGGAGGAACGACCGTTTCCGACCAAGCGTTGTGTCTCCTCTTTGAATGACTCTTCTTTGAATGAGAAGCCACTTCTCGAAGAACGTGTCATCTTTCGGTAGGATTGTTTCGAAGCGAGAGAGACATTCGGTTTCGTCGTAGCTCTTCGAAGCAACGGTCTTATTGAAAGAATCGCTTCAATCCGTCTCGATCACTCGCAGCGAGCAGTAGGAAATTTCACCACGTCCCAGCGTGTTCACGGATTTTTAGTGTTCCCAGCGAAGAATCAAATTCAAAGTGAGTTCACCCATTGAGTTGAGCGAAGCATTTTTCATGATTGCACCCAACATACTTTACGACGAGAGTTTTTTTGAAAAGAAGACTAATTCCGTGAATGTTGTCCGTGGACTGTGTCCAGAATGATATTGTAACGGAATTTATGGGAAACCAGAGCGAGAATCTCGCACCCTGAAAAAGATTGTCGACCTCACAGCTGGAAGCCTAAATTGTAAACTTGTGTCCAGCCCCGTGAGTGGAACGACTCCAATCCCAACAGTTGTATATGGTACGGGATCCCGGAGTCGCGAAGCAACCGAGGACTCGTAAATTACTCTTCTAAGTGTTGGGGTACAGTCAGCTCAACGGAACACGTCCGGGCGACGAATGTTTGGAATCCGCGCGCTATCGAAGGTGCGGCGGTGACGATCCAATCATAGGGGATCGAGGAAGTTGTGGAAAGAGAGCAATAAAACTACCGGCTCCGCGCTTGGGCGGGCATTCCGGTTTCGACGTTAACCTGGTGTGCTTCGTTGTGTGCCATCCTCCTACCCCCCCAGGTCCCGCGTAAAGCTCACGAGAATCCCGGAAATCCCAGGCCCCCGCAGTCCCTTAGAGCCGAGCCCCGAGTCCCTCGTCGTAGATGTAAGTCTCCCCAGCGTTCCTAAAATTCCCTCGACCGGGATCAGAACACTGCGTCCGATATACTCTCATTACAATATGTAGATCTCATCGCTCCCGAAAGCTGGATTTTGTTTCTTAGGTATCGTAGATTTCCAGGCGCTCCGGGACATGGCGGGCACCGACTCCCACAAGCTGCGGGCCCAATTCAACAGGGTGGCCATCAACCTGAAGCCTGACGTGAAGGCGGCCGTCTACTTGCTCGCGACCGCCTGCCGCAACAAAGACCGGCTCACCCGGAACTTCGGTTTCCTTCCGGACAGGGTCAAGGAGATTGGCTGCATCCAGGAGGCCTACAACTTTATAAAAGCCAAAATGGTGACCTGGGTGTCCCAGGAAAAGCCGGGCATCAACTTTGCCCTCATCCACCTCCCCAACACCCTCCCAGGCCTGTGCGCCTACTTCTGGAAGGCCATTCAGGCGGCCGACCAGTTCAGCGTTGCGTCGCTGTTGAAGACGCAGTACGCGACGCAGCTCGCGCTCGACGACCCCGAGCAGGCCGAGAACCGGGACGCCATGGAGGCGTTCTGGAACTCCACGGTCCGGAGCACCACAAACAAGGCCAATGTCGCCGCCTTCCGCGTGTCCTGGGAGGCCCTCGCCGGCTCGTTCGACGAGAAAATCTACACGACGCAGGCGGCTGACAAGTATTACTTGATCCGCGTGTGGTCGACCGGCGAGGTGACCCAGGTCGTCCCCTCCAACGGCCTCTTCTACACCAGGAAGGAGCTGGAGGAGTGGGTCAGGGAGCCCCTCATCATGGAGGGCAGCCCCAATGTGGGGGCCGGGCCGTTCCCCCAGGACCAGGACGCGCCCTTGAGGGGGATGGAAGTCGGGCCCGTCCCCGCCATCACGCCCAAGATCCCCCGCAAATCCGAGAAGACCACGGAAGAGGAGACCGCCGAGGACCCGAGGACCCCATCCACCTCCGGCGAGACCGAGGCCTCCGGCTCCCAGCAGGAGGCCGAGTCCTCCGAGGAGTCGTCCGAGGCGAAGGCCGAGGACGGGGCCGACTCCGACGCCTAGATCGGCAGGAACGCCTCCCAGCAGGCGGCCAGGACCCATTCCAACCTCCTGGTGACCCAGCCCGCCTTGGCAAAGCGGTTGCTGTGAGTTTCTTGATGTTGGATGTGGTTCTGCTTCTGAACTCATTTTCCAAGGTGTGGCTCCTCTGCACGCCGGTGACTTAAGACGACCCGAAACAGTAGGTGTAGGAGTCGGTCTTCGAACAATATTAGCTTGTCCCGGCAATGGAGTCATTCTGCTTTTATGCAATATTCCTGTCATCTATATAATAAATCTATATATATAAAAACGTATGTCTGTTTGTCTGTCTGTTTGTCTGTCTGTTTGTCTGTCCGGGGTACCCTATAGACTCGAAAACGGCTGAGCCGATCGTCGTGAAAATTTAGGAGCGTGTTCTGGGGGATCCAGCGGTGGTTATAGGGGGGTCAGTTCTCCGATGCGATGAGTCCTTCTACCTTAAAAAAATTATTTGAGTGCTCCACTCACGAAAATACGAAAACTCGGAAAAAAATTGAAAAATCTGAAATTCGCAAAATTCACTAACGCCTGAACCGATCGCCGCAAAAATTCAGGGGTGGGTTCCCGGGAGCTTCAGGAAGGTCATCTGAGGGTCGTCGTTCTCATTTTATGGGTCCTCCCCCCATAAAAAATGATTTGAGTGGTCCTCTCACCGAGAATCAAAGATTTCATCAAGGGAAAGACGGGAATTCGATTTTCCGGAGGACATATCTAATAAAAGCGGGGGCACGGGGAGGCGGGGAAACGGGGAAGTGGGGAACAGGGAAAGCGGGGAACCGGGAAAGCGGGGAACCGGGAAAGCGGGGAACCGGGAAAGTGGGGAACCGGGAAAGCGGGGAACCATATAAAAACGTATGTCTGTTTGTCTGTCTGTTTGTCTGTCCGGGGTACCCTATAGACTCGAAAACGGCTGAGCCGATCGTCGTGAAAATTTAGGAGCGTGTTCTGGGGGATCCAGCGGTGGTTATAGGGGGGTCAGTTCTCCGATGCGATGAGTCCTTCTACCTTAAAAAAATTATTTGAGTGCTCCACTCTACGAAAATACGAAAAACTCGGAAAAAAATTAGAAAAATACTGAAATTCGCAAAATTCACTAACGCCTGAACCGATCGCGCAAAAATTTAGGGGTGGGTTCCCGGGAGCTTCAGGAAGGTCATCTGAGGGTCGTCGTTCTCATGTTATGGGTCCTCCCCCCATAAAAAAAATGATTTGAGTGGTCCTCTCACCGAGAATCAAAGATTTCATCAAGGGAAAGACGGGAATTCGATTTTCCGGAGGACATCTATATATATAAAAACGTATGTCTGTTTGTCTGTTTGTCTGTCTGTCTGGTGTCACCTATAGACTCGAAAACGGCTGAACCGATCGTCGTGAAAATTTAGGAGCGTGTTCTAGGCGATCCAGCGGTGGTTATAGGGGGTCAGTTCTCCGATGCGATGAGTCCTTCTACCTTAAAAAATTATTTGAGTGTTTTACCCACGAAAATACGAAATCTCGGAAAAAAGCGGGGAAACGGGAAAGCAGGGAAACGGGAAAGCAGGGAAACGGGTACGCTCACCAAGAGCACGCGCGACCGAAGCAAGCGCACCCGAAGCCAGCGCACTCGGAGCCAGCGCACTTGGAGCCAGCGCACTTGGAGCCAGCGC